ATTAAATGAATGGGGCTGCTTTAAAACCAAACAAACTACGATTGAAATTATACTAAATAGTTTAGACATCGAGATCGAGATGTCTCTCTCACCTCGATACGTATGCGGATACGGATACTTATACGGATACGTCAGAAAGAACAATCTCTAATAGTACGTATTCTTACAGTTAGTACACTCTCAACATGGCTGAACACTTTTGTTACAGGTTAGAGTAGCGACTGAAGTGTTCGTCAAGAAATATGCGTAGCGGAGGCAAGAAAGGTAACTCTACCAAAGACTTGGTTTGAAATGTAATGTTTGTTTGAGTTTAAATCCCTCTCGAGAATTTTTCACTCATATGGAGACGCCACCACTTTCCGGTGGAGAGCTGCAAATTTTGACCTATGCTCAGCACTTAGGGCCATTGAGCAGTGAGGGATCTTTATCGTGCCAGCACCTACTGCGACACGGGACCTCGGTTTATACGGTGTCATCCGAAGGAACGGTCTCCACGTCCCACATTGGGGTGTTCACTAGCCCGGTATCGTGATTTCTTTAACTTCCGCGTAAACCTCACAAATGCTTTTTCATGGGAATCGAAAAAATTTACCCTGTAAAAATGTTTGCAGTAAGAAAACTAAGCCAAGGATCAAAATCATATACTGAAGGAAAAAGAAACGCAGGGTAACAAAATATGCAAAAGTTTTCTGAGTGTCTGGCCTAAAAGTATGAAAACTGGTCGGAGGGATGACTTGGTTAATGTGCATTGAAATCGCTGTTCAGAATTATTCAATCCTAAAATGTATGACGACATGTAAGGAAAAGAGTAGAAAGCCAAAAACACAAGCATATTAATGATTAAAGGTTTTCCAGGACATCTTATAATACCACTTGATGCACTGAATTTATGCACATCGTTTTTCGATATTTACAGACAATTTAAATTTCTTGTGGTACTGCTGACAGAAGTTCCATAGGGTATGCCTGTTGCTTTGCATAAGTTAAGAGCCAAAACAGGTTGCTGTGCAGTTTGTGGGGGATTTTTACTCCATATAACGTCTTATCCGTCCTTCGAGAGGAACTTGAAGGGTTTCCAACCAACCGTGACGATGACGTTGGCGTGTAACAACGTCACATCAACGTTGGGCCATTCATCCGACCTCCCGTGTAATTGACATCTCATTACAACTGAAACCTCTATTAATACAGTAGACAATGATAATCATTACATGCACCCATAAACTGAAAGAAACCGATTCCGCAATTTTGGTTTGTGAGCTCGTCAACTTGTGTTCTTTTTTTTACTGGTGCGCACGTGCGTCGTGTGTCTTTTTTTTCAGCATGTTTACCCCGGCCCAATGTAGCCAGATTTTGTCAAGACTTTCTGTCGAACATTCACATTAATCAACTCAACTGACCTTCGTTAAGTTCATCTTTTTCTCCAATTGAACATCTGTCGGACTAACTCGACGGTAGGGCTTGAAGGCGTCGGAAAGCCGAAACGACTCTTCACCAGCTAAGGGTAACATTGTCAGAATATTTGAAAAATATTAGTACGAGAAAGATGTATGCAATGGTATACTCCATGCAGAGAAGAATCAAGGCTTTGAAAGATGCGCGAGGGAGGCCTAGGTGATTTTGATTTTCACTTTGGGGGGGTGCAGTTACAGTGTACAAAAATGAATCCCACCATATGGCATGCCTGAACAAAGAGTGTGTTAAAATTTCAAGCATCTGCGATGAATAGTAGCTGAGAAAACTGCGACTTAAATGTGTTATGTTTGGTACGGACAGACTCACAGATAAACAGGAAGTTAACATCGGATTCGTAAAAAATTAATACCACCATATGACATGCCTAAACAAACATTGTGCTAAAATTTCAAGCATCTGCGATGAGTAGTTGCTGAGAAAACTGCGACCAAAATTTATTACGTTTGGTACGGACAAACACACTGGTAAACAGGAAGTTGAAATCGGATTTGTACTAAGATGAATCCAACTATATGGCATTTTGGTCTCAGTCGTTTGTTTTTTAACGTCCCGTCGAGAAATTTTCACTCAAAGTGAGACGCCTCCACTTGCCGGTGGAGGGCTGCAATTTTAGACCTGTACTCAGCACTTTGGCCTTTGAACAGTGGGGGATCCTACTGCGACACGGCACCTGGGTTTTAATGGATCTCATCTGAAAGGCAGGTCTCTACATCACGCAGTGGGATTCGAACTAGCTAAAGAAGCAATTCCTTACTCCGCGACTCAAGAGCAAACGCTTTACCACTGTGCCACGTGGGTGACGGTCTTTAAGCGTGAGCTCTTTTGTAAAACGGGTCCAAAAATTGTAGCAGAAATGCCATTTTAAAAGAATTTCACAGAAATTTTAATTTTAGTAACAAAAGCAACACCTTTCGTCGTGGCCAATTAAGCCCCACCCGGCCTGAACCATGGACTTAGGAGGCCATGAGTTTTACAGTTTTGGTAATGGGTGAAGCTTATTGTGATCATGCAAACATTTCGTCTGGTAGATTGCCATGCGTAAATGATTCAAAGGTGTTAATGTGCATGTATTTTCAAAGAAAGTGCTTTTGGAGGTCTTCACAATGATGATCAAAATCTAAGTGTTAATTATGATCATGCAAATGGTGTGCCTGCTTAATGTCCATGAATAGAGAATATATTTTACTAGTGGTACTGTGAGCGAGTTCACAAAATAATACCCCTCCCTCGCTGCAATTCTTTTAAAGTGCCCATTCAAATTTTGTAAAGGTGACATCTGACAAAAAGACATTGGTTAAAAGAATGATACATCGTCTGGTTATAAGTACTCTTTAAGTGAAAGATGGACATGCAATGTTTCTCCATTAAAAAATATATACCTGTCATGAATTTTATACTTTTTCTGCCAGTGACATTGAACTTGATGGAATGACCATTGGTCAAGGTCATGACACACCTGGTCAAAAATATTCTTTTTACCAATTATTAACTTCCAATGATTCTCCATTACTGTAATAGCTCGGACAAGAATCTTTTTCTGTCAGTTACCTTGAACTTTGACCTTGGATCAGTCATGACACACCCATGGGTCATAAGCAATCTCTGTACTACGTATGAGCTTACAATGATTGCAACGACCTGGAGGAAGATGCAACGACTTAGAGGAAGAACATTTATAATGTAAAAGGTAAAGGTAGCAAATAGTTGACTGATTGTATGTTGTTTTACGTCCCATTCGAGAATTTATCACTCGTTTAGCGACGTCACCATATACCGGTGAATGGATTTAAATTTTTACCTTTACTCGGCACTCAGGGCCATTGAGCAGTGAGGGATCTTTATCGTGCCAACGCCTGCCGTGACACGGGACCTCGATTTTTAAGGTCTCGCCCGAAGGACCCGCAACTTTCACTTCAAAGTGCCGAGCTCATGGCGAAGGAACAGTTGCTACCTTTTTTTTATCGACTTAGGTCAGTCGCGACCGAGATTCGAACTAACGACCTACCGAACACGGAGCGAGCACACTACCGACTGAGTTACCGTGACGGTTCAGTAACAAAAAGTGATCGATCTCAAAAAATCTATAAACAATACAATTCTTTGAAAGGGCATAATACATGGACCCCTGGAAATTCAAGAGGAAGGATCGGGTGCCTAGAGGGAGTGAGCATCCCCTGTTGACCACAACTGTTGAACATAATAAAAAAACATATTTGCAATTAATCCAGATGCATTGATATCTCGTATAGCTATTTTGAAAAGAATTCTTGATAAAAAAAAAATCAAGGAGATTTTCTTTTAACAGTTTTAATACATGTACTGCTTTATACCCTGTCCTTGGCCAGAACCCCTACCCATGGAGGCCATGAAAAACACTATTTTGGTAGAGGGTTTCAAGTTCTTTCTAACAATGCATTCAGTTGTGCACAAGAAGAGAATACTTTCAAAGATTTAATTAGATTATATACATTTTTACTATGTGATCATTTTTGGCACCACATGAGGCAGAACCTCTGCCTTGAGGGTCATGAAAACATTTTAGTATCTAAGAGGCTTCATGCTTTTCCGAATAATGCATAGTTTCCTATAAGATGGGCAGGTGTAGAGAATAAGAGTTTCTAGGATCATGTACATTTTCACTTGACTATATGACCATTTTGGTTCCGCTTTGGGGTCATGTCAAACACTGTTTGGTTAAGGGTTAAACAAACTTCTTACAAACTAACCTGTTTTCCTTCAAAATATGTAAGGATGGGGAAGAAAATTTTTGAAAAAACCTCTAGTGTTGAAAGGACACAATGATTAGGAAAATTAAAATTTCTTCCACTATCAAAAATTCATCACTCCCGCGTACTTGTTCTTTTTTGTAATTTTAACATGCTATGGAATATAGGAAGATTCTGATTGGCTGCTTTTTCAAAGGCTACCCTTTTTAAAATTTTCGCCTGCTGTCAGATTTGATGCATGGCTTCCACTAGCGAGCATAGGTGACAAAATAGTCAAAATGGGGGTAAATACGGGACACATAATGCATAACAATTTAGGAATCAAAACTTATGAAAATCGTCCCATGGTTTGTGGAAAGATCGTGACAGAGGCGTGATTTTGATTTGACGTTGTTGCTGAGTCGACGGAATGAACTAACGTTTGGTCAGCACCGTCTCCATCAGACATCCCGATGCTACAGTAAGAGAATAGTGATCGACGCTGAAAGATAGTGAGATGATTAACGTTTACATTATGGGAAAGAAAACAGCAACGGCTAGGAAAAGAGAGAGTGATTTGAAAATTGAAGGTTCTTAAGGAGTTTGACTTTGGATAATCTGTAATGCAGAGCGGGGAGTTTCTCAAAGTACACAAGGTTATGAAAGCTAAACAAAGAAAGATGAATTTTGCAGCAAAAAACAAACATTTAAAGTTTGCGACACACATGTTAATGTTTTCATCTGATAAATGCTTCGAGCAATGACCGAACATTGATTCCTTATCTTTCACTTTTGGGTCACAATTAATAAGACCGCAGCTATGCAGGCATTAGGTTTCTTAGTGCTCGGTGTAACCTTCGGATATTCATTTGGTAAGCTAAATTCTTACTTTCCCCATATATTGAGAGTATTTTACACGAATTTTATAACTAAGTGATAGTATGATTCAATGGCCTACCTTTTGTAGACAGTGGGTTAGCATTAATTACATTCTTATCTGCTTACAAAGTACTTTTAAGATTACGTAGGCAAAATTTCAAAGATATAATGAATTACAATATATATGATAAATGATTGTAGCATTATTCTAACCACTTGCTACATCTATAGTGTATATCCTGTACTCTACATTTCTTTTATGTATTCTTTTTCTTAATTTTGACGTGTTAGAAGTGCAGTGTATGTAACTCTGATTCTAATTTTTAAAGGCATGGATGTTCATAACGTAATCATTCCGTAAAATGTTTGAAGGGTTCTTCTTGGATGAACAAAAGAAAGTTTGTTACGGAGACCTTGGTTGTTTTGCCATTGATGATCCTTTCGACAACACCTTCGGATATCTTCCGGAATCACCAGAGTCCATACAATTTAGTTTGACTCTTTTTACAAGAACTAACTCGAGGATTGGTGTACGGATAGGATACAATGACACTTCCTCCGTATCTAGGTCCAGTTTTAACCCCAATAATCCAATTAAAATCATCATACATGGATACATGAGCAACGCCAATGAAGCATGGGTTCAAAATATTTCAAAACTATTTCTTAAAAAGGTATGCTTTCTTATCATTATCAAAATATACGAGAACATGTACAGTGGATCCTCATTTATCCGGACGCAAATAATATGGACGCTTCACCTTCCGGACGAAATTTGTGGGAAAACAGAATGAACATTTATACGTACCAATTATACCAAGTACATTTTTGTAATCCTCCTGGCGATTTGCTTGAGACACAAGTGTCCGGACTAACAAGGCTCGATTGTACATATGACTTAACTGAGAAAAGTAATTGTTTCCATTACTTTCAACTTCGTTGAAATAGATTTTATATTTATATAAGTTAAAGTATATATACAAGTTAATTCGAGAAAAAACATCCACTGGATAGAAAGAAACAATACCACTTCATATTTTCTCAGTATAAATAGGGTATTTCTACGTCTTTCTGCACACACACACACACACAGAGTCAATTCTATCTATCTATCTATCTATCTAAAACAAGATCAAAGGGGGTATTATTCTTGACATAGGGCACAATTTAACGTCCCTTTCGTTGGACTTAAACATTGAAAATATTAAAACATTTGTTTATTGTTTAACGTTCCTCTCGAGAATTTTTCACTCATATGGAGACGCCACCACTTGCCGGTGGAGAGCTGTAAATTTTGTCCTATGCTCGGCACTTAGGGCCATTGAGCAGTGAGGGGTCTTAATCGTGCCAGCACCTACTGCGACACGGGACCTCGGTTTATACGGTATCACCCGGAGGACCAGTCTCCACTTCCCACAGTGGGATTCGAACCCCCGACGTAAGGATCAACTACTTACACCGCGACTCTAGACCGAACGCTCTAACCACTGCGCCACGCGGGCGACTGTTAAAACATTTATAATATAATATAACCACATGTATTACCATTACGGTAATGCCGATGGAAATTCCGAATGTAATGGTAATGCATTACTTTATACCGATTGATTGATTGCTTTATTATTTAACGCCGAGTCAGCAGTATTTCAGTCATATTTCGGCGGTGAATTTTTTTTTTCTCGTGATGGGTTTTGAATACATTTGACTTCCCTCGCCCCCCCCCCCCCCGGGAACCTCCTTTTGTTCGAAAACCAGAGAAACGATCTTTTGCGTGCCAAGGGAGATATTATCCTTGGACACAATTTAACGTCCCTTCCGGCGGACATTGAAAATATTAAAACATTTAAAACGAAGTAATACTAGTAATGTGTAATGCCAAAAAGTGTGCATAACATGAACATATAAGGGTAATGTTTTTGTTGCTTAATATCCCTTCAAGAATTTTTCATTCATATTGAGACGCCACCACTTGCCGGTGAAGAGCTGCAAATTAAGACCTGTACTCGGCACTTACGATCTTTGAGAAGTGAAGGATCTTTTCGTGCCAACACCTCGGTTTATATGGTCTCATCCGAATGACCGGTCTCCACGTCGCAAAGAGGATTTGAACCCTCGACGTAAGGAACAACTCCTTACGCTGCGACTCTAGGGTAGAGCAAACGCTCAAAGCACAGCACCACGCGTGCGAGGTAATGGTAATGTAATTGCATTCTTTCTTAAATCTAGTATAATGCTGACATTACAGTGAATGTCTGTTTACTCATTTTTTATGCAAAGATCCAAACAATGTATTGTTTTGAGAAGTGCTCAACATACCAATCCCTATGTCCTTGTTCTTTTATGAATCATTGAGATGGTCTAGTTTGAGATGACCATAACACGTATCTTGAATTAAAAGAATTGAAGACATCTCCGTTATAGCTTATTAATTCCGAACACCTAACGCGAAAAACGTGCAACTTAGCTAGAACCTAGAGCGATGTTAAAACAGGAGGTTTTCTTTGAAATAAAAATCAAAGCCACCACATATACAGCAATTTAAAAATGAGCGAATAAAATGTCATCCTCGCAATGCCAGGGGTCCTGAGTCAACACGTTGCCGTTAGACCCCTGGCAAATTTCATTTGATATTTTAGGGCTTGCTTCTCTCATTGAGAAGCACCAATCAAATTTAAGCTTTCTTAAGGAGTTAGTTAATGTAAACAGAAAGAATTCAGTTGTCACCTCAAATGCACGTGTTCTAAGTTGTTTATCATAGAATGGCTTAATGTGAATGGTTTAGAGAAATGAAGAACAATAAAGATTTATAATTTTTCCGAAAGATGTCGCTACTATCAGTCCACGAATCATTGAATTAAATATACCAGGGGTCCAACGGCAACATGTTGAATCAGGACCCCTGGCATTGCAAGGATGATAAAATGTAAGCTGTTACATTTTCTTCAGACACGCTGAAGAAAAATGAAACCGCTTACTAGGTTTTCCCGTGTTTCCGTCTCTCCTCTCTCTCTCTCTCTCTATATATATATATCAGTGCATTTTTATTTACTCAAGAAATTTTATTATTGGGTAAATAAGATTTATAGCACTTAAGATCTTCTTCGCAGGAAGACTGCAACGTTGTAACCGTTCAGTGGAGGAACGGAGCCAACAAGATTTACCCCGCCTCTGCCGCCAATACACGAGTGGTTGGAGCAGCTGTGGCGAAGTTCTTGGAAATGGTTAGAGATAAACATGGAGCAAAAATGGAGACCGTCCATGTTATCGGGCACAGTCTAGGGGCCCAAACTTCTGGTTATATAGGACAACGTACACCACATCTGGGCAGAATCACAGGTTCTACAATACTTATATATAAACTGCATACACAGTGAGTGGGGGTTGTTTAAAAACATTGCAGTTATTTTATGTATGGACCAAAAGATGTGTCAAAATGGACTATTAAATACAGCCGTCTTTTGACAGGCCGTATTATGCTATAAGCTTTCTCGTCTGTTCGTCTATCTGTCTGTTAGCTTTTTCTGTCCTGATTATGTTGTGTGAGGCCTAGGAACCCAAGCCTTTAAAGTTGAACATGCCGGGTATTTTATTGTATTATATGTACAAAAGGATTGGATACAAGTTCTTTCAATTTACTAAATCCTTTCCTTATTTTACGTGTATGAGTACAATTATTGTCAAACAAATGAATTGAAATAAAATACCATTATAATGAAAACAAGAAATGTTTAAGAAATATGTATGCCACCTTTTTGGCAATATTAAAATTGGAACAAAATTAAAATGTAGAATGTATATAATGAGAGAATAATTAAAAGTTAAATTTGGTACGTGTTTATCGGGAATTCTTGTAATTTTCATGCAGTAGAAAAATGTCCATAAATATTTGGGAACACCAAACAATTGACTCCAATAATTTTCTGTTTGTCTTAAATTTTTTCTCTCAATGATTATGTAGTAGAAGACATGGTTTTACATCGGTTGTAAGAACATATCTATTCCCTTCTAAGAGTACATACATATTATATCTAATATTAATATATGGCGCCTTTTCACATATGCATGTATTTGGAAGTTGGTTAATTATTGTCTTCAGAATAAGGTTTTCACATAAATATAAAATCTTAATCACAGAAGTATCTAATGTCATGGAACGAACCATTTATGTTATACAAGTCTTTTGCGTAAAGAATTTATTCCCGCTTTAATTCATTTTTTAAAATAAATTTTGTTCGTAAAAAATTTCGTTTTTCCATATATTGGTAAAGATAAAAACTCTTTTGTGGAAAAATTTGGTAAATATTTTGTCGTTATACATGCATTGAAAGCACAAATTGATTTTTTTATTGAATTTAGGGAGATTTTTTTTAGTTCTTGATAGTCATATACATTTATTAGATTAGTTTTTTATGTATTCTAGTGATAATGACTTTATAAAATAAATAATTTAAAGATGATGCAGGACTAGATTTCAAATTAAGTAATAATGGAACCCAATATGCTTTGGATGCCTTAAATTTAGATTCAACTTCAATAATGTATTTTTCTGTTCTTTCCTGTAAGTGTATTTTCTTTTATACGGTCTTCAGTATTCTAAACAAAGTTAAATATTAATCTACTTATTAGTTTAATAATTTCTTTAGGTGTATTAGGAAGAATAGTTGCATTATATTGTAGTTTTTAAATACACTACGTGTTCATTTTTCCCAAAATTGACAATTTCCTCTTTTCTCATGAATCTAAATTTTTCGATATTTAATCAATTATAGCTTGCCTATTTTTTTTTCTCTATATATTTTTGGAACGTATATTCCTAGTGTTTTAATGGTTCGTTGGTCACCTTTATCTCCTCTATTCGATTACATGAATTTTTAAAGCTTCCAGTAGTATACAGTGTACATTCCTATTTATCGATATTTAGATTTCAGGAATAATGGTAAATTGCAATCATATCTAAATACAACAAACGTCCACTTTTTAAGTACACTTGTTTTAGTTTGTTACTATATATAACTTATACAGGACTAGACCCGGCAGGGCCATTGTTTGAGCGCTATGCTGAAGAGGTTCGGTTGGATCCTAGCGACGCAAAATTTGTTGACGTTATTCATTCTGATGCACTTCCGATCGAAGATGCAGGTAAAAGTAATAAAAACGTTGGCATTATATATATATATATATATATATATATATATATATATATATATATATATATATATATATATATATATATATATAAGCCCCAATTTAATTAGTGCTTCGCATTGAGAGAAGCGGCCCATTCTCAGTTTGTCAGGGTCTTGCAGCCAAATGGACTCTGAACCCCTGCCGTTGTGAGAATGAGGTATGTCTGGCAAGGAGTCCTTGTCAAAAATGTATGACTAAAATTGTACACTGTAGTATATGCATTCGTCTAGTGTCATCTAATATTTAAAAGATAGGTATCTAGCAGGGCTTGCAAATTTCTCAAATTTGATTTGATAATCGAGTAATTTTTAGTAATTTTTTGACCGTAAAAATCCCTTTTCTTATTTTCTATCAAGTTATTTTCAAAATTTAAATAGGAGTTGGAACAAGGAAGTCGTGTGGACACATTGACTTTTTTCCTAATGGCGGCGGTCATCAACCAGGTTGCCCGCCACCGTATAAAACCAGCTTGGAGGAGCTTTTATCCTTACGATTCACTGGTTAGTACTCTTCAAGTGCACAAATTAACATCAATGTTTTTGGAGTCAAGATTATCGGGAATCATGTTATTTCAATGTTGTCAAATGTCGATTTTCTTCAATTTACTTGGTGGCACTACATAAAAAAATGAGTGGACATTGGAAAACCTTATTTAAAAAATAACTTTTTTAAAACCGTTTTTGCATACGTCTAAAATCCATATAAACACTGATTATTTAGCTTGGCTTTACTAAATTATTCAGACGAGAAGGACCCCAATGTTTTTTATTAATTGTAACTTGTAAATAGGTTTTCTTCTTAAGTCACATTGTGACGAACAAGTAATTTGTTACATCGTTGATTTGCCGATAACGTTTTAAAATTGATTTAAGAAAATTGTTAGAATTTGCCACGTGTGCTGAATCAGCATACCTTACAGCACTTTAATTTTCCTGATTTTTATTTCCGATAAAAATTATCGGACTACAGTATTGCTAGTTTATTGAGAGTGTTTTGTTAATCTTACAAAAAATTCTTATCAAACACTCCCCGCTGCATGTCCTTGGATTTTAACTGTTTCTCTTTTTTTCTCAGCCGCCTTTACATCTATCTCATGCAGTCATTCTCGATCGTACTTTTATTTTGCGGAGTCCCTCGTCAAAGAACCAAACTGTCAATTCACTGCCTACCCCTGCGATACCTACAACGATTTTGTGAAGGGCACCTGCAACGTTTGTGGGGATTCCCCTTGTCCTGTGATGGGCAATGATGCCATTAAATCCAGCTCCAGGCGAGGCAATTATTACTTAATAACGAACAGCCAAAATCCATTTTGCAGTAAGTGGGATTTTGAAATAAACTTATCATTTGTCTATACCTTTTAAATCTCTCATAATGACACACATTAGAAAAATCTTAACTTCAGAAAAAAACGATATATTATTCATTTATTCATGCCTGCATCAGTGAATAAAACATATGGCAACCCATTGCCACCCTTGTACACTTCGAATTTGACCTACTTTTGAAAGACTAACCTTGGCAATTACTTTTGAACGTTTTGTTTTATAGCTTTCATATTTAACATATGTTTTCTTTGTGACAAGATCTTTCTTTGGGTACCACCATTCTAGTCTTCATAACCTTGACTTTGGACTTTTACTTGTTTTGACCCTTCACGGTAGCTCATTCGGTAGAGCGCTCGCTCCGTGATCGTGAGGTCGTGAGTTCGAATCTCGGCCGCGACTGACCTAAGTCGTTAAAAAATAGGTAGCAACTGTTCCTTCACCATGCGCTCGGCACTTTGAAGTGAAAGTTATGGGTCCTTCGGATGAGACCTTAAAAACCGAGGTCCCGTGTCACGGCAGGCGTTGACACGATAAAGATCCCTCACTGCTCAATGGCCGTAAGTGCCGAGTAAAGGTCAAAATTTGAAGCCATTCACCGGTATATGGTGACGTCTCTCTATGAGTGAAAAATTCTCGAATGGGACGTAAAACAACTTACAATCAATCAATTTACTTGTTTTGAAAATTTTTAACCTGTCAAAATAGTGGTACCCAAAGAAACTTAAGGTCTTGTCGCAAGGAATACACGTGTGAAATATGAAAGTCATAGTATCAACTGCTCGGAAGTTATGATCAAGGTTAAAGCTGAACACGTTTCGTAAATAGACATACGCCATATTCGATTATACTATCTACGATATCAGCACCGAGATATACCTTTCGCATTCGTTACATCGGACTGCTTTATTGTCGAGGGTATCGGCGTTGAATGGCGACACATGTCCGTGCTGGTTATCTTGCATTGCCTTTGCTTATTTATTTTATTGCAGTTACGTGTATTTGTGTTTGTTTGTATACTGCACTGACTTGTGCAGTTGTTGTAAGTTTCTTTGGTATCCTTCTGTCCTGCCGTAGAAGAAGTACACAGTAATTTTTATTCGCTACCGAGTGCTGTATAGCATGCGTCCGTCCACACCGGTGACAGCTGATTACACTGAACAGTGACTAAGTGAGCGGATTATATAGGGGCCCTCAGATATAGCAAGAGAATAATCGAATATGGCGGACAAATTCCTTTTACGAATCGTGTTCAGCTTTAAAGTTTTTCAAAAGTAAATCAAATTCCAAGGTAATGAGGTCAAAAATGATGGCACTCAAACAAAGGGCCACAAGGAATGACATGTGAAATATAAAAGCCCTAGCACCAACCGTTCATAATTATGACCAAGGATAAAATCCAGTTAAAGTTTTTAGAAGTATATCAAACTCAAAGGTCAAGGCAATAAATTGTTGAACCACCAAAAAAAGTCTTTTCACAAGAAATACATACAAGTGTGAAATATGAAAGACGTACATGTAGAAATAAGCATTCATATGTAATGGCCAGGGTTCAAGTTTTGGGACAAATAGACGGACAGACCAAAAAAAACTATAGGCCCCGTATTCTCCGATTACATAGCACAGATAGGTATCCCAGTAGCTTAAAATAAACAAGGACTGCATCTACCGCTGTCTTGGTCCAATTGATCGCCGCCAGAAGTAGTCAGTTTTGACATATTTCTATACAAGGTTACTGAATTACATATCATGTAAACTTTAGACATTTCTTACCAGACTCGGTTGCAGGCTTTGCTAATTTTATATTTCATGATACAACACTGACTTAGATGGGGTGTGCGTGTGATATAACTCTGTCTTTGTTAGGAGTGTAGGAGACTGCTCTTTCAAATTGGAATTTTGTTGTCAGTGCCAAGTGATTTCTTGGGCAATCCTAAACGCAATCGTTTATGTACTGTCTTCAGTATCTTCAAACCATCAGAAGGTGGGGGTTAGGTTCCTACTTTCTCTTTGCGACAAGAACACTTTTTGATAGTTTTCAGAAAGGCGGAGGGTATAACCATATTGCAACTTTTACAGTCTCATCAGATACTTCTGGATTTTATATCCGCAAAGTTTGTGTTTGTTTTTGGTTTCGTATTTTATTGGTATTTTTACATTGATCAAACATCCGTTAATGTATCTTAATTATAAAGATTTCCAAATGTATTGACAATACATAATGGAACAAAGAGATTAAATCTCATACACATGTTGTAACAATATAATACGTATATTTTATACCATATATTTGTTTTCTGAAATTATTTTTAATTTTATTTCAGAAAATTCCTGAGGAAGACCATGAATTGATTTACAAAAAACTTCTCCAATAAAATATATACGAAAGAAAACCCTTTATCTTATACTTTACATTTTATATCCCCGTTGACCGAATTTTATCCCATTCCTGACTTCAAAGAAAAAAACAGATACAAGCCATACCCCGAACACCAAAGATAGAACCTTTTCCTGAGAGCTTACATTCAACTCTTGTGGCGTTTAACATTATCTGCAGCAATTCTTTAATTGAGGCCCTGTCCTGTTATCAGTTCCGAAGCATTTAGCGTCCAATGTTCCACGCAAGCGCCGACAAGCGATATGTATACACAGCCAAAATTTTAAAAATATATAAAAATTTGAAAGAGGCAGCTCTCGAGTCTGACATCATTTCGACAAGTCTCAAGAGCCTAAATTGTTTGGTAGCACTCGTGTCACTAAAAGTAAGGATGTGGGCTTTTATACACTAGCTTGGTTCAATTTCGCGCATTCACAAAACTGTGCCAAATCAAATAGACATTGTATTTCATATTTAAGTATTTATTTTAATTTATTAGTGAAATGGATTTACGGAAAACATTTCGGCGCTTTTCATCTGTCATTTTTGTTATTTTATATCTGGATTATACCAAGTCGGTCTTGTCAGGTAATTTTATTTTTCCCTCTTTTCAAATCTGCATGCCATCAAACAAACCCATATATTCAGTTACAGAACCAAAGTTAATATTATTTATTATCTAATTTAGTGACTAGTTTTTAAAATCGTATGTATTCCGTTCAAGTTCTTACGAACAATCTTTACTGTGGAATCCAAATTTCCATTAATAAAATTCGACTACCACTATACATGTATATCATTTATTCCAACATTTGGTTAACTTTGAATTTATGTAATAATAGAAATAAATATATGCAGATCATCCTTTTTTTAATAATATGTATGATTTTACTTTGTCTGTGTTTATGTGTTCAAAGAAAATGGGCGAATACACATTGTCCGACAAATAAGAAAGCAAAAAGAATTAAATTTCGGTCACACAAAATTTTTGATTTTGATTCTCAGTTAATATTAATATATTTGCTAAAATCTCATACGTATTGAAATTATTCGTCTATGAAATAGCATGTAATCATCAAAGAGGGGTATATGAAATAGATAGCAAATATCAAAGAGGTCTAAAATGGTAATTTCTTCAAATGATAACACAATTTTTCCATATGAATGGGTCTTTGCTCTATAATTCAAATTACATATATACGTAAAAATATATATTTTTCGGTAATATCAAAAAACTTGATATTAGGACCCACTATACTTTAAAAATACACTTTTATGACACATCCCTATCCTTTCGAGAAATATCTGGGGTCCTTTCACAAGCAAGATATATATGTCGCTACCTGTGACTACCTGTGATTTAGTGGATAACGTGTGAACATCGAAAAGAAAACTGATACTCGGTAATTTTATTGCTTGAGCTTAAATCCTTTTGGAAATTACATGTTGTTTTTCTGTTCTTTTTTTTTTTTTTATCTACGAATAACTTTTGCCGAGAGAATCTTCCGCAGAAAAGTTTTGTCATAATTTCGTACCTAATAATAAATAACCAAGTCTTGTCATAATTTCATACCTAATAATAATCAAAACTTTGCAAACAAATTTTTAGTTTACTTTAATTTGATATTTATACACTGAAATCTGTAGGCATTACCCATCCTTAATCCTCTCATGTTTTTAGATATTTTGTGCTCATCTCAATTACTTGATGGAAGTTACACTTTCAAAATAGATTCGAATCATTAAATGAACTCTTCAGTTTGCCATTCTTTTTTTGTTTTAATTGACATGGTGCTAAGCTGAAATTGTCCTTGTTAAATAAATTCTGGAGTACCTCTTTTAAATAGACTGGTATTGGTCACGAAAACAAACAGTCAAAGTAAGTGATATCGGAAACCACACTGGGGGCTGAGAAGTTTTCAGGGTTGGTCAATACCTTGGCGTTTTCCGGTTTTAATCGTTCTTTTTTTATATCTATTAAATGATAATAAAGCAGCTTTTTATTCTTAGAAAATGTTAAAGATTTTCTTCAGAGCTAGAGTTTTTATTTACTTGAATACATTAACCGTAGTAATTTTTAATTAAATTAATTTTAAAACCTTAGTAATTTTTTTCGTATCAACATATGAAGGAGAAAAATGGGTTGAATTATGTTTTTGTTAATATGTAATACCGCTATTTGGACTAAAGTCGTAATATAAATCCTTGCAAAATAAAAGACGCCACAGAATTATGCCACGTCTGTGTTTTACCAAATGGCAACTAACAACTTAACTGCATGACAAACGAAATGGCTTCAGTTTTTCCAATATTTATTATTCATGTAGTAAAATTCCACTATCACCTGCATATGGTGTTTATGTCTCCCAACTAATTTGATACTAAAAAGCATGCTCTGAGTAAAACAATTTTAAACGAGACAGGCTATTGACAATAATTAGATGTTACAGGGATTTCAACGTAAGCATTTCGTAAATTCTATGATCATTATAATGACCTTGTAGAAAATACAATCTACATGACTTGTGTATGATTGTCGAATTTAAACTGCCATATTTCATAACAATTGTTAGGCCTTTATCTTTATGATAAACTTGACTACGGAATACTACGTCTACCTGATCAATACATTGACCGGTCGACAAGGGATGTTTACTTCTCCAAGGCACCTGATCCCACCATTGAAATTTCCAGGGGTGTGTGTGTTTTTGGTCCTGTTCTCAGATTTGTATTGTTTGTTGATTTTTTATAGATAAATTACTGTTCGTTATCTTCATATATTTCATTAATCTTTGTGACTATCCATATTAGAATACGTTTTTTTTTTTGCGCCTTTCACAAGAATTTATATAAATTATCCTTATCTTCTCTTCTTTTCTTTAAAAAAGATAAATTAGTACTTTGGATTTTGGCAGATGACAGTATTTACTAATCAGGTGAAATTTTGGATCTTCTTCAGTACCAACAACGAATCCAATCTTTGGGTCAGGATAAATAATAAGCCTAGGTTGCATTCCTTACTTCTACTTTTCTGAATTCAAAATTGATTGATGCAGTGAAAAAGCATTTGACCCTATGTTTTCAATTTCTTGTTTCAATATGGCAAGATTTTTTCCCAAGCCAGATCGCTGTTTTGTACATATATTGTGCTAAGATATATTCTATATGGTTATTTGTATATTAAGATTATTGTAACATTACAAATCCGGCTACACCATCACTAGAACTATCATTAGCCAACTCCAACCCTCCCCCGCAGACGAAGTATATAGGAATCATCTTGTCCGTAATGTTGAATCATTGGTAGATCATTTTTGGCACAAAAATGCTTATGACCTCAGGGTGTGTTATGTCCATGACTCAGGTCATTTTTGTAAGTTCAATGTCACTGGCAGAAAAAAGTTCAAAGTTCGTGTCCGGTCTAAAGCTACATAATGCATGGCCGTAGGAACCGGGGGGGGGGGGGGGGCACGGGACCGTGAAAACATAGCTACTATATGCTTATGCCCCCTCAATAAATACGTCTGATGACCTTTTTTTCTTTTTACTTTTTTTTGGCTTGTCAAGGATTTTTTGGTAGTTGATAGTGCCCCCTCAACTGAAAATGTATGGCTGTGCCACCCCAAACTGAAATTGCTTCCTACGGGCCTGTAATGGAGATGCATTGGAAGTCCATACCTAATACCGTTCAAAGATAAGCTTGACCCAAGGTCACTTAGAAAAATGTTTGACTTCTGTCCTAACCATCGCTCACAGTGCCTATAGATTAGTTTACAAAAACATATTTTAAGAAATTGACATTAGGCTTTCATACAAGATTATGTTTCTGAATTCTTGGGAAAAAATAAGTGAAATTAATGAATGTGACTGTAACCTACATCTCACTTTTAAATTTTACCAATTCTTTTATCTTTAATAGATGTGGTAAATTTGCCACAATTGAAAAGAACGAAAATTCACAAGAGCGGTTCCAGTAAGAATATTCATTTAAATTAAATTGCTTGATAATAAAGCTGCACAAATATCTTGCCTCGTGGGTTACTTATTATATAGCGATGACGAAGAGACAGATTGCACGTTGCCGTGTTAAGCTGTAACCAGATGAACTGCTTATCACAGTATCCTGATTGCACGTCCCTACTTTTAGCTCTCTCGTCAGGCGTTTTCACGCTGTCCGAGATGTTATAGCAAACAGATGCAAGTTTTGTTCTTTGGTATTTACGTAGTTAAATTTATAATTAGTATTAATATCAAAATATCAATTTAAGTTCAGTTTTTTAACAGTTTTAACATCATATCACTGATACATGTATTAAAAATGCCTTAATATCATTCAACCATCTACCTTTTCGAAGTTAAGCCTCTCTATTATAAGCGAGCAAGTGCATGCAACTATAACTTTAACACGATTTTAGATATGAAATCCAAAAAGAAGTAAAAAACAAATAAAAACAAGCAAAAAAAATTTCAAAAACATAGAAGCAAAAGTACATTTCAGAATCTTACTGAGAAGTCGTAAACCTTTTTTGTTAATAAGTTTGATAATTTTTGGCCCAAAAGACACATGATCTCTGTAGATGATCCAAGTATTGTTCTCGCTCATCTACAAAATTACTTCCTTAAAAATCATTCTGATTATTCACACAAGTACTCTGAAGTTGATATGAAATGGAGATCATCATTGAGATATATGTAGTCTTTGGAGACCGGGTCGCCTACTGAAATTCCCATGGGGACTACTATTTGTACCTCTCTATAAGCTGACCTTTTTGTATTCTTTTGAAGCAGAATTTATTTATTTTTAACATCTACATGAAAAGACGTTTCTTGGTATGGCATCCAATTCAACATTTAGATGCGATGCATTGACAACATTTTAACAACTAAGTATAACTGTTTTTACAGTATTTATTTTCATTTATAAGTTGATTCAATATGTCCCACTGGACTCAATGTGAAAGACCCCACAGAGTTTGACATAATATTTGTTTCATATCTTGATACTAGCAGTATATTATTATCACCTGCATATGGTGTTTATGTCTCAAGTTCATTCAATACCCAAAAGCATGCTCTGCGTTTGATCAATTTCTAAACCAAGGCAGGCTACTGACAAAATAATTTAGTGTTGCAAGGTATCAACAATTTTTTAAGTCAACATTTCGGCATTCTATGGCCGATACAATGACTTGTTAGGAAATACAACCGTTGTTCAACCATTATTTTCATATTGATTCGTCTACGGATTACTTTGTTCACACGATCAAGACAAAGGACTTACGACGGGCGCGCCGGTCAGCAGAGGATGCCTACTCCTCAATGGCACCTGATCCCACCCGTGGTGTTTCCAGTGATCCGTTTGCTCTGTTCATACTAGTAGTTAGTAATTTTTAAATGGATTTTTGAGCTTGAAAACTGTTCAAACGTTATCTTCACATTTCATTTTTCTAAAATCTAGAATTCAAGTATTTTTATTCATTATTTTTTACAAATATAAAGATACTGACAGTATTTTATATTTTCCTTTTAATTTACGCGAGTATTTCAATGGCAAGTTCGTCTTTTATGTTAAAACACAGTGACTCCCAAGTGAGCTTAAGGTCATCCTGCTAATTTGGAACACTCCATTGACATTTGTTGACTTAAAAGTAAATATGAATGGTTTATCAAAGTTTAGTTTACAAATTAGATATTTCTTATGCTCTAGGAATTCAAGTTTGAAAAGGAGGGGGCACTACAACAATAAATTAGCATTGGTCTTCTAGAGCAAATTAGCATTAATTATGGAATAATTAAGGTATACTTGGAAAATTATTCCCCGGTTCCTACGGGCCTATTTCTGCCACTGGAAATTCTACATTTTAATGTAATATGACAAAACCCTTTACCTCGCCTATTTCTATGCTTTGTAAGAGTTGGAAATAACGAACAGCGATCAATCTCATAAATCCAGTAAACAAAACAAATCGTGAACAAGGCAAAAACACGGACCCCTGGAAACACAACAGGTGGGATCAGGTGCCTAGGAGGAGTAAGCAACCCCTGTCGACTGTTCACACCCGCCTTGAGCTCTATGTATTGATCAGGTAGACGGAGTATTCCGAAGCCAAGTATTAAAGCAATGACCTAACAAATGGTGTGAAACAATTCAGACAAAATAACCCAACGATAGGTTGTATTTTCAAATAAGATCATTGTAATGAGCGTAGAATTTGCGAAAAACTTACTTTAATGCTATCTCATTGTATTTTTAAATCCATTTTGTACCAACAGCAAAGAACAAAATAAGTTCAATTTTGGTCCCCTCTTTGAGTGACAATCAGAACAATAAAATACACTTGCAGTTCATTATCTACTGTGTATGTTTTAAAATTATAATTGATAAGAATAGATACTACACACAATGGAATATTAAACCTCCGCTCTTTGTCAGAGTTCCGACCTTTCTGAACTCCCCATTCCAGTGTGGGTTTCCTAGAAAAATAATTAAAAAAAAGAGTTACATATGTATTTACCAGAGTGAAAAGGTATGTACAATACTTGATTTGCAAACATGTCAATTTGGATTTAGAATAAAAGCTATTGCAACCAATAGAATATCCGCCAAACCCCTTTAATTCCTAATATAAAGTGTATATATCTAACCAAATGCCTACTGTACAATCAGCGCCAGGTGAGGAGGATTTTGGAGAAAGCTTACATAATTCATCTAAAAAAATGTCTAGGGATGTCCTTTAAGTGGCCTGTTTTCGAAATAATCACTTCTAAATTGTAATGTGGAAAACTAAAATTGCAATCAGTTTTTAAATTGGGACACTTCCATGTGCTAGTGCACATATTCCTGGCAAAAATGACCTTAAGAGTGTTTTAAAACAACCCTCTTGCACAAGCAATAAATTTAGGCGTTGTTCATTGTTGCAACAGCAAAACGATAACATCTTTGGTAACAATAACTACTTAACACTGGATTTATTCTTGTCTTTGAGATAATTATGTGTTATTTCAGTCACAACGCCTTGCTGAAATTTGATGCCAAAAAGCGCATTGTGATCTGTTTTACTTCATCATTTGTTTGAAAACTACTGTTATGTCAGTATTTGATTTTTACTCGTTTTAAAAAGTAAACAGAATTTAGCTGTAATCTTTAAAAGCAGGAATATCGTGTCACATTTAATAATTTCCGTTTTTAAAGGAGTTTCTAATTATAAACAAATAAGCAAGACCGTTGTCTAAAGATGACAGAGTTTTCCGGCCGTCGTTCGATGTGTTTGTACTCTAAAATAATCACCTGATAGCATCGGCAACTTCTTCCCAAATCATTAAAGCAAGTATTTCGTCCGCCTGAGGTGAGAATTGTACAAAACTTCTCACCATTGCATAGTGCCCCACCGAAACATGCAACTAGGTACTGATTTTATAGAGCCTTGTACTTTTTTATAATTATGATACAGAATGGAGGAAGTAGACGCTTAGTCCATAGTACTAATGAGCAAAAATCTACTGTTTTATTTCCTCTGTGTCGATTCATTACATTAACAATAACATTGATCGCGCACGTTGGGTATTTGAACTTTTTGTTGAAAGAGCTGAACATAAAACACAATGCCTTGTTATCGCGCTATATAATCAGGAAATGTGATGTCTTTTGCATTGCTCAAAACAAGGTCGTATGTGTTGTGTGAACATTCACGTCAGACCTTAGCTCTGTTTAAAACAACATGATTGTAAGCGGGGAATCGGTTCGTATATCGATGTGATGTTCAAAGGATTGGGTGAGAACATTTGAACCAAGAATCACCTTACAAAGAATCAAGTAACTAACTACTATTCTCTTCAGAGAAGTGGAGAGGCTTTCGCCTACATCTACGTGGATCTAGGCGAAAGCCTGTCCACTTTTCGAAAGAGAATAACTAACTACATGTACTGAGATTTTTTTTTTCAAGTTGTATAAGGAGAAAAAAAATTTCATATCAAACAGCTAGCAAGAGTCAGTTAAAAAACAATACTGGAAGTGCAGGAAGCGTGCGAGGAAAAGAGTATTGGGTATTTTCATCACTGCTTAGTTTAGGATTTTGCAAATGTCAAAGTTGGAATTCTTATGTTATATTTATTAATAATAAAGAAAAATTCATCTTTCTTAATATCTTTTAAAACTTGTCCGAGGAGAGACCTTCAACAGACAGGGGCAGCATAATGTAAAAACAATTTCAGTATTGAACTAAAACATGTCGGGGAAACTCCAACGTCCCCACCCGTCAATACTAATCTAATATGAATACCTGGTAACTCCTTCCTTTAAAATGGAGTCGATATCCAGGACACCAGTCAATAACAGCAGTCGACTATGGTACATGTAAGGTACTGAAAAGACTGTCTAATATTTTGTCCGACACAATGATTATGCTTGGATTGGAACAGAAAACTTTTGCTAGTTTTATCAATGCAAATTGAAACATAACCAGTTGAACTAAGTTGAGGTAGTTTATTTACGTCGCAATATTGCTTTAAAGATTAAGTATTACAAATTGGACTGCAATGTTATTAGATTCTTATTCTCTGTGTTTCTCAAGTTTCCATTTAGATATTAAGAGATAAAATGCGGGAAAGTGACATGAGGTAAGAATATCCAATAACAGCCGACAGAGGTCTGAACTAGAATTGACATGTCAACACGTCCACAAGTGTTTACTACGACCCTTATCTTTATATCGCTATCTGTTTTTGAAGTTTACAATATGAACCTTACACGAATCGGAGGAGTGCACAAACATAAGTACATGATATTCTGACCCTGCACTCTTATCATTTTTTATATAAAATAGATGGCATAAATATAAGACTTATAAAATAATACTTTATTTTCAGCCATACTTTCATTATTGCTTTAATAAATGTAACATTTCTTTCATTTAGATTTATTGTTCCATTGTATACAATAGCATTTTTTCCTATTCCTTTTCCGAAGGTCAATAAGAATATAAAGTTCCTATAAGGAAAACACTTCAAATTAAATGTAACAATAAGTAACTGTCTGCTTTATAGGGAAGATGTCATGTTAAATGGCTACTTAAAGATGTTATTGTTCTCAAGTTCAGATGGAAAGTAAAATGGTTAAAGTCTACTACAAACAAATTGAATGACTTGGTGTTTTCTACGATCCTACTTAACAAAACATAAAACTTGGTTTTATGCATTCCATTTATTTGGTTTTTTTTCCAGTGGTCTTTAGTTGTTTCTGTTTGTTTTTTCTTGTTGAAGTAATTTAAAGTGTTTTTGTGCTTAGGATTTAGAATTATAAAGCTTTGCGGCTGACATCAAAATATAAAGCATTTTGATTGAGATATTTAAAACAATAAGCATCATGGCTGAGATATAGAACTGTAAAGTATAGTGGTTAAGAATTATAGAAATATGAGCAGGGTGGTTGAGATCTAAAATAATCAAATATTGTGGCTGGAATATAAAATTTTTAAAGTATTGTGGTTGAGACAAAGAAATATAAAATATTGTAGTTGAGATATAAAAGGATTATGGAATTCTTTTTATTATGGATGTATGACAAATAAGTAAATACTACGTATTTCAAATCACCTACACTGGTATTTCTTCCGATTGTTAAAAAACAAATAATTGTAGTACTCAAAACTGTATGTAAATTAAATTGAAAAAATTACAAAAACTTATATTTAATATCACAAGTTTCAAGGGATTTTTGCATACAAAGCAGTACCATGCAAATTCAACTAGGTTCAGGTACAAAATGACTACGTGAAAGATAACATATGGGCTTATGTTTTGCAAAGTACGCAGTGTTAGCCATGATTGTCAACCTTCCATCCATCTTTCGTCTCTGTGTTATGTTAATTTATATCTATATTAAAAATCTATTTTCATCGAACTTTGTTCACATAGGCATTCTAGTGATAACAATTCCATTACATCAACATTATGACACTGACCACTTATCTCAGATTTTGCGTCCAGCTCATTTATATGGAATGTTACGAAAAAGTCTTATTTTACAACTTTTTACATAGATACATTTTAACTCTGCTATACCTTCTATCCCACGACCACGGCCTTGACTTTTTAAGTTATAATAATCTTAATTGAACATAAAATTCAGTTTACATAACTGCATGTACAGATATTTAAAAAATGTTGCACAAAATAGACTGGCCTTTTTAACCCTTTAATTTTGAACTCAAATTTTATCATTCTGTATTAATCTTTTTTGTTAAAATGTTCGAATAGCTTAATGAAGTATTTCTTAAATCATATGATACATTGAATGAAACCATAATCGAGAAATAATTTCTGTATAACTTCTTATTCTAACATTTCTAGCCTGTATCCCTGGAGATGGCTGTCCTACTACTTGTCCAGAGAACTGTCTGGCAGGGTGCACACGGACTGAGAGGTGTTTAGGAGGGTGTCGACCAGGATGGCGCGGGGCGAGATGTGATGAAAGTAAGGACACATATACCAGAAATCACATGTAGAGGGAAACTTTTTTGGATTAAAAAAAAATCATGGTCATGTAGATAAAAACTTTAAAAATATGAGGCCCATGGGCCACAACGCTCGCCTAAGTCACTTTTGCCCTGCTAATCTTCAGCAGTTTTTAAAATTCCCTCTTTAATTTCGTAAAACATTTTAACTCCATATTGTGGACCATACTCTAGCCCTAAGGAAGCTATGATTTAATTAAGTTGAATCCCCACAATAAAGGGATGCTTCAATATCAATACGATCAACATCGTCCTGCTGTTTTAGAGAAGATTTATTTCTGCATTGTGTAAAATTTGGATCTCTGATTTCGGCCAAACCCCAACCCTAGGAGGATGATTTTAAAAAAAATCCACATAACTTAGGCATGTTTTTCATATTAATACAATTCAGAGTGGTCTTGCCATTTTTGAAAAAAAAAAAATATCTTCCTAAATACTCTCTTGTAAAACCCCATTGTAGCCTCAATCTATTCCCGAGAGCCCGGAAAAAAAGCTTGAATCTAAACTACCTGAGGATGCTTGCATATTAATATGACTAATAATTGCTTTGATGTTCATTAAAGGCGAATTTTTTAAGATTGTTCCTATAAATTTCTAAATAACTACGCTTATTGTTCCCTACCCTACCCCCAGGGACCCTAATTTGAACAAACTTTAAATCTACACTGCCTGTGGATGCTTCCATATAAATATGACTATTATGGCTTTGTTGTTCATGATCAGTAGAACATTTTTGAAGATTTTTTTCCCTCTATATTCCCTTGTAAGCTTCTATCGTCCCACCCTACCTCCGGAGGCCATGATTTGAACAAACTTGAATCAGCACTACCTAAGAATACTTCTACATAAATTTGACTTACTATGGCTTTGCCATTGGTGCTTTTCTAAGAATTTCAAAGATTTTTCCCCGATATTCCTGTATAAAACTTTGACCACCTATTATGGCTCCATCCTACCCCCGGGAATCATTATTTGAGCAAGCATGAATCTAGACTACTTGTGGATGCTTGTATCTAATTATGACTAACCATGCTTTGTTGTTCATAATTTTTAAAAGGGTTCTTGAAAAGAAGATTTTAAATGATGCCATTAAATTTTCATTAATTCTTATTTATCCCCTAACCCCCCCCCCCCCCGAAAAAGGGTGTGGCCCTTCATTTGGAAAACTTCTCTCAAGAATGCTTTGTGACAAGTTTAGTTGAAGTTTGCCCAGTGGCAAGTTTGGTTGAATCTGGCCCAGTGGATCATGAGAAGAAGTTGAAAATGTAGATAAATACAGACAACAACACGGCACATGGCAGACGACAGAATGACGGACGCCGGACACTCTTGAGTGTTTGGCTCAGGTGAATTTATAAAATGGAATCATTCCTCAGTCAATGTATCTGTCTTATTCTTTTATTTCAGGCTGTGAACCTTTCACCTATGGTTCAAACTGTAATCTGTACTGCGGACACTGCCTTGATGATAAGCCTTGTGACATGAAGACTGGAATCTGCAGCAATGGTTGTCTCCCAGGGTGGATGGGGAAACTCTGCAAAGACCGTGAGAATATAAATTATTTTTTCTTCATATCGTGTCACTGATAAGTGCATATTCTATTTTCTTAAGTTTTCTACGTTGTGCCTCGTAAAACGAAAATGTACAGAGTCGCCTATAATGTTATTATTAAACGAGCTGGGTTTGACGGCTCAAAAGTCAAGTCACACATTCACCCACGGACAAATTTATCTACAATGTTAAAAGCATTTATTGCAGACTGAAAACTCTCACTGCTTGCACATTTTCTTTTATCAGCTTGCATGGCTTACACTTATGGTTTCAACTGTTCCGGAAAATGCGGAAAATGTCAGTCTGAGCGACCGTGTAATAGAGAGACAGGAGACTGCAGTACGGGGTGTGAAGTAGGGTACAATGGGGACCGCTGTGATCAAGGTGCGAATAGTTCAACGTGTGCCAATAAACTGAGAATAGACTTAAATCAAAATCTTAAAAGTGTTACTTTTGAAGTAATTTAAAAATAAAGCAGAATTTTCATCAAGTGGTCTTTTTTTTAATATCATACAAACTTGCAATTTTTTGAAAATTTTTGTTTAATAAAAATCAAGAAATTTTAAAATATTAATTTTGACTGAGGCATATTCTTAGTTTATGGTCTTGGGGCAATTTTAAATCCTGAAGCCAACTTAAAAATTAAGACGAATGTTTCACATTTGTCAATAAGGAATACAGTCTGTTGGTCCTAAAAAAATCCAGTGGTTTCTTTTGATATAATTGGAATTGTGCTTAAGTTTGTGACGTAGTTTTTTCCTCATCCAGAATGTCCACCACAGTCCTATGGGATTGCCTGTTCTATGTCATGTGGAAAATGTAAGAATGGGTCATCTTGCGACACCGTCACGGGTCACTGCTCAGATGGATGTGAGCCTGGCCGGATCGGAGAAAAATGTGACCGACGTACGTAGTAAGATTCACATCAGTAAAAAGATCAGAAAAATTCAGACAATTTGGTAAATGATAAATCTCAATATAAAGAAGATAAAACTTCTTCAGGTGGCGTCATGAACCGCGGAAGGGGCAAAGAGGGCAGTCATTATATACCAATAAAACACCCCATGCACAAAAACATTTTTATCAATTTTTTTTTGTTTTTGCTGAATGAATTCGGTTATAGTGAGAAAATTATTTCGGTTGTGAATACGCCCTCTTACTATTTTGATAGCTCTGATTGATATTTTAAGTGCCTAACACTTGTAACTATTTGAGAATTTCTTTGTAATTTGATCTTTATTAAGCCTCTCAGTTCTGAAGATCAGGGAGAGACAAAAAGCCATAACTCTATACTAGACCATGCTCTTAATAATAATTTACTAAGACACCTGTTAATATTGAGTATATAAGCACAAAATTACATTTACTATTGATTTGTTTTTCGAATTAAGGAGTTATAATTTCAGAATATATTAATAAATGATAGTAAAACAGAGAATATTTTCAATCTTGTTGATAGGGTGTCCACTTGGTTTCTTTGGTAATACTTGTCAGAGCATTTGCGGGAAGTGTCAAAATGGTGTATGCGACCACGTGACCGGACATTGCCTAGCAGGATGCAAGCCGGGATGGACTGGTTCAATTTGTGCCGAGAGTGAGTCATTTTAGGGTTACTTAGTACTACGAGTATTTAGTATTAATCATTCAAAGCCATGAAAGGGGTTTGGAATTTTTACTAATACAAAGTAGTTTAAATCTTCTTCTCCTTTACTGTTTATTTATTATAATATTATGATAATTATAACTAAGAATTTCATTTCTAGAAAACCCCATATTCTTGTGATTTTATTGAAAATTTGAATTTTGAGTGCGCGCACTAAAAAGGAGAATATTATTTGTAATAATGAGAAAAAAAAAGAGTTATCTGTATTCCTACCATCTGGTATATAACAAATTAAGCTGTTATGGCGTCTCTGTGCATGTTTTGTAAACATTTCATCACGATCTCCTGCCAATAACGAATAAGCTTTGTGTGAAATATGTAGGTTTCGTAGAACTTCTCAGCAACAGTAACATATTGTACTCTTATTTATTTGACAAATGGAACGAATAAAAATGATAAATCAAAAACGATACGCACTTTTACGATTTTGAATCCATTACATGACTTGTAGAATGCGCAAACAACACTTATGGCCCTAACTGCAGTCTCTCCTGTGGACATTGTCATGCCGGTGAAAGCTGCGACCCCAGTCGTGGTGGAATGTGCACTAAGGGGTGTTCCAGCGGTTGGAGAGGTCCGCGCTGTGACGAAGGTCAAATCAATTCCCAATCAATTTACTATTCAATATGACTGCTAGAGATGTTAAAGTTAATACAAACAGTTTCTCATGCGTGTGCCAGTTACTAAAAAGTCACTAGTAAGATTATAAGATCATTTTTTTAAAGATATTTTTACATGTACATGTACTTCTAAATGCCTACAGTAAACAATTCATTAAGACTAAATGTATATCTTGATTGTATTAATACATTTACTTATACTGTGAAGCAGTAAGTTTTTCATTTTTTTTTCACTTTTTATTCACTTTGAAACGAGTTATTGAATTTACATTATTATCAGTGATGCAGTAAATCTTTATGAATTCGTAATAAATTTAAAGTCTTAGATTTGCATAGAATTTTATTCTTGGATTCTCTCTATTCTATTTATACAAAATCTAAAAACAAAAGAAACAATTAAACACCTAAAGACACTTTCAAGATGTCAATTTAGAAAGCACCAATTTTACTTGCTATAGTGTCATTACAAAAATACACGTAACACGTATATTTGGAAGTCAAACCACCATCTTATTTACAATTATAGTTTATCACGCAAGCATCGGGTATTTTTCTTGCTTTCTCTTAACAGTTTTTAGAATATTAATCAGGACATATATTCATAAGGAGTTTCCAGCATACCAATAGTAATTTTATCCTCACTACGTCAGGGGTCCGGAGTCAACACGTCACGCTGCCGTTGGACCCCTGACAAATTTCATTCGATATCTTGCAGCCTGACTGCAGCGACGTCTTTCGGGAAAATTACAAATCTTAATTGTTTTTTTTTATCTCTCAATCAATCACATTAAGCCTTTCGGTGATAAACAATGCGTAACACGTGCGTTTTAGGTGTCAACCGATTCCTTTCTGTTTATATTATCTGTCTATACTTTAATTTGATTGGTGCTTCTCAATGAGAGAAGCAAACCCGAAGATATCGAATGAAATTTGTCAGGGGTGTTGACTCAGGACCCCTGACGTTGTGAGGATGTAGTAATTTTGGTTACATTTTGTTCTAATTCATTCATGTATTTTGATATTCTTTTTCTTTCTATTTTTACAGGATGTCCCAAAGGATTTTACGGCCTGGCTTGCGGTTACAAGTGTGGTCACTGCTCCGATGGGGAGGCATGTGAACCACAAAACGGTACCTGTACCGGCGGTTGTATAGATGGCTTCAGAGGAGCATTTTGTACAGGTATGTGGTTTATGTCACTTTGTACATGTGGCTAATCACACTTTGTACAGGTATGTGGCTTACCACACTTTGCACAGGCATGTGGCTCACTTAGTAAAGGCATGTGACTTAGTAAAGGTATGTGACTTAATTATCACACTTTGTACATAGATGTGGCTTATCACACCTTTGTACAGACATGTGGCTTATCACACCTTTGTACAAGTAGATTGCTTATCACAATGTGTACATGCATGTGGCTTATCACACCTTTGAACAGACATGTGGCTTATCACACTTTGTACAAGTAGATTGCTTATCAAAATGTGTACAGGCATGTGGCTTATCACACTCTGTACAGTTTTTTGACTCATCACACTTCGTAAATGTATGTAGTTTATCACATTTTGTACAGGTATGTGGCTTATCAAACTTTGCACGGATCAATAAAGGTTTGCAAGCTTAAAACATTTCTAGTGGACTAGCCGTGACTCTCTAGGTCATATGCAACCCCGCGCCTGTTTTGTTTAAAAGATTCTATTAAATAGTATTTCGGCCTCGAAACTCTTGTATAGGAAATGAATAAATTCTGCATTTTCAGTTTTTAGCATTTTATCTTGGTTGATTCTAATTATTCTTCTCTATTCATTGTTTATGATATCATTATAAATAATATACAATTATTGCTTGTTTTTGAGGTCAATACGATGATTTAGACACCTGAGGAGTACAATATTCACCGAGCCCGAAGGGCGAGGTGAATATTGTACTTCTAAGGTGGCTAAATCATCGTATTGAACAAAAAAAAAAACAAAAAACCCAGCAATAATTGTTTTATTATATGATTAAATGACACACACTCATTAAGTAATCTGTGCCATCTTACTTGTTCACATCTACTGAAGTACGTCAACATAATGAGAGAAATTGGCTTAAAAAAAATTGTACTATTTGGGAACTTTTAATTCTAGTTTAGGTGCAATGTAGACAAAATAAATGTCAGGCACATATATAGGATTGATTTTGAAAAAAGGGGAATTAAAAGGAAAAAAATTGACAACTTACCTGAAAACAAATCTTTGACTACCCCCCTCCCCCTAAAAAAAGGAAAAGAATTCTCCCAAAGCAAAATTTTATTTGGTGGGATGTAAAGGTCCATAAACTTTCGAGGGGAGGGGGGGGGGCTTTCATTGAAATTGTTTTTCTTTAAAATTTAAATTAAAACTTAACATTCTCAAAGGTGGCGAGAGGGGCAGGCCTCCTGCAACCCCCAACCCCAACCCCGACCCCCTAATCCAAGAATCTATGTGCCTTAATGTTATGATCATATGAGTGGATGTCAGGTGCAAGTGAAATAACTTTCCAAAACTATTTTCATCAATTTGGAATTTCCCAATCTATTTTTGGTCCAATGTAGAATAAACAATTCCTTATATTGACTTGGAAGATCACGTGCAGGTCAATATAACGCAGTATTTTTCTAACATTGTTGGATCTCAGCCAATCAGAGAGAAGGGAATTATTCAATCATATTTATTAATAAACCAGGACATCAATCATATCTTCTGAATCTGACAGAAAGAATATTGGTATTTGATATAAATGAAATATTGATATTAATATTAATGAATATGATATAAAGAACTCGCCTATTGATTTTTTTTAAAATTAGCTTTCGACACATGAGATCAACTTTGCATGTTTCAAGTTGTCATCCCAAGAAATCCCGTCCGATTTAGCTTTGAGCTGAACTCAATACAAGTGCTATTAACGCTAATCACCGATATTCCCCTAAGAGTGATCAATTCGAGACAATTTATGGCAGAATCTAGGAGAGGTGGATCTAGGAAAAAAAATTACTTTTACAAATATTTTCTTCGGATGTCATTGATAATTATAGCATTTATTTCCTTTAATATGCTCAATTATTTTGCTACAATGCGTTCATCTACTTTTTTGCATGTGGAATTTATTTCAATTTTATTTAGAATTAATTAAATTAATCTTGAAATTTAGCGATTTCTTTTTTCTTATAGCCTTAAAATATTTTTAAATCTAAAGAGAATCCATAGTGTGCAAGTCCCTCTAAGACACCGCGAGTTACCCCATACCCTGCATATTTAACTTACCCCTTGAGAAGAAGGTAAACATGGCCTATTTACACCCTTCTTACTACGCATTCAAAGGCAACATTTCTCAATATTTGAAATTTTAATTCTTTTCCCCAGACACTCTCCTTCCCATCTATGCCCTAAAATCAGCCCATTCCACCCCGTATACATCCGAAGACATATTTATGAAGAAAAAAAAACCGTGTTCTTGCGGGTCAATGAAATGGGGTAAAATTAGTAACCTGTGATACACTTATACTTTCTAACGTCAAAATAAGGGTTATAAATTCAAACATTTATTTTAATTTCCTTTTTATTTTAATTTGTTTATTGTTTACTCGTTTATTTTCTATAATTATATGTTTCATTTTAAACTCGTTATTATTATTGAGCACGTAGAAAATTAAAATCACCCCCCCCCCCCAACCCCCGCAATGAAAGGCCTTATATTGTTCTCTGAAAATAAAGTTTTAAAGCTTTAATTTTAAATCTGAAAAAATGTTGGATCCTTCCCTCAACAGTGCTGACATCATTTGTCTCGCATCACTCTCATGGGTAATATAAAGATTAGCGTTAATTGCGCTTTGATTGAATTCAGTCTAAAGCTACACCGGAGAAAATCAAGAGAATTTCTTCCCATGGTTTAACAAAAAAAAAAAACTTATCTATTTGGTTTGCTTTGTTTAAGACTCTGAAGACGCAACAAACCCGTTGACACACAGCCTTTTGATGTCGGTACTGGTGTCCGTAATCGTGGTTCTCCTATTGTTATTCACCGCCACAGTTATGTACTTTGTTTGTGTGCGGTATAAACATGGACTTTTCAGTCGCTTTTACAGGTTGTCAACGGTAAGATTTCTCATTAGAATAGTACTTTTTTGGTGTGTGTGTGTGTGTGTGTGTGTGTGTGTGTGTGTGTGTGTGTAATCTTTTTCATCTTTAAAAAAATTATTAAATGTTTACACTAGAGAATTTTGTTGTTTCGTTTCTGTCTGCGTTTTACATGGAATATGTCTTCACTCGCAAATTTTTGGGCTTTTCGGACGGGCTTAAAATTGATAAGCTTCCAATGCATTACGTGGCTTTGTGGCGACATAAATGGATGACCCACAGGGGCCTTAAGGAGGGATTCTTCTCATAAGAACACTTATTTCTTATATTTAAAAATCAATGGAATTTTCACAGAATCAAGAGGACAATATCATTAAGTGATGGTATCAGTTAGATTAAATTTGACCGTTTTATATTAGAGGCAAGGTCAGGTCAAGGTCAGTACCTTTTCCCTGGACATTAAGAATAAAAAATTACTGATGCCAATTATGCGATGCCTACTTCTATTTCAATAAATTAAATGTTTTTCTTTTTGCATAAAGAGATATTACCACATAGGGTCTATAAGATGATATTACCAAATTGACATAAATAATTTAATTAAAATGGATATTGGCTAATCCGAATTTTCTCTATTTTTCTTAAAATTTTAAGATATTTTAGTTATTTTTATATGCTTTCTATATTTAAATTTTTCTTATTTTCACATATAGTAAAGTTGTCACATAAAGATACAAAATGATACATAAACAAAAAGTTTTGACCGTTTACTAAGAGAGAAAAAACACTTTTTACGGATTTTTGGCTCAAATCTGAACTTAGATTTGAAGCTTTTAAAAGCTAACATAATTGTGGTTTGTTTGGAAAATCATATTTATTTGATATATTTTAAAACTTTAGTCCCTTATTATAAATATAATTTAATTTTGTTTGTATTCTAACCTCTGATTGGTTAATATCCAAAAAAGAAAACACAAATTATTTCTGTATAACCTGGTTTGGTATGGGGACACACCCCCCCCTGACAACCAGCTGAATCATCTGTATCCATACAATCCTCTCATTTCCAGTCCCCGGGATTCAAGGAAAATTCTAGATTTAATGAATGTACCAAACAATAATTCGATCTTACCACATGTAAACAAACAACAAGGCTGCTAGGCCTATGTATCAGTTTTTACCTCCCCTCGCTTCCCATCACTTCCGGTACTTCAGTTACTACGGTTGTATTATTGAGCGGCAAATTTGAACTAATAAAAAGCAACGAAATTTTACACCCATAGTTATTTAATGATTTTAAAATTAAATTATAAGGAATGACTCTAATTCTTGGCCAAATTATTCGCGTATAACCTGGTTTGGGTCAGTAATCCGCTTCGCGGATTATAAAGCGTAAACTGACCCAAACCAGGTTATACGCGAATAATTTGGCCAAGAATTAGAGTCATTCCTAAATTAACTTACATTTAAACATTTTCTCCAAGTCTTTGATTGTGTAAAAATTATAACTAAATTCATTGTTCTATAATTATTTTGAGAGGCAGAGTAGAAGATATTTTCATACGCCGCCATTCCGCCAAAAATATAGTCCCTTCTAGATTTCAAACTCAGTTTACCATTTCTCTTTAAAGTTGTACAATTGTGACGAGGAAAGAAAAATATGATCTTTTAAATCTGTTACATGTATATATATAAAAAACATATAAGCCAATGTACTTTGAATATTTCATCTAGTCAGAAACCAGACAAGAATCCCTCCTTAAAGGGAATTAAAGTTTAATTTACAGTGATTGGAATACACTAGTATACAAGGGAAAATTTCTCAAAATCTTCTCAAGAAAAATGGGACATGATAAATAATTTAAAAATGCAATCATCCTCAGGTATGGCAGATTCAAGTTTGCTCAGATCATGCCCCATCTACCTGGGGGGTAGGATGGGGCCAGGATAGGGGATCATCACAGGTTTGCATAGGTAAATACATGAATATCGAAAGAAAAAAAATTAAATCTTCTTTTCAAGAACAACAGGGCCACGATAAGTGATATTAATATAGATTTCAGTAGATTTCAATTCAGTTTGCCTAAAATTAAGCGCTGGGCTCACATATACTTCTCTACAGTTTTCTTAGTTCGCTCGTGAGCGCAGCTACTCATAACATCCGACCCGAAGAGTTGCTTTTATTTGCATCTTGATAAATTCTATATTTTAGCTTTAAATTAATTTTTTTTATCTTTGTCATCTTGCTATCTTGCAGAGAAGTTTACAAAGCCCAGAACTACATCTGTATGAACAGGTTTTGTCTGGACCGTTTGAGCTGAACAAATATAATCTTATCATAACCAATGAAAAACTCGGACACGGACAATTTGGAATGGTAAAAAAGGGCTACGTAAAGCAAGATAGAGACCACAAAATACCAGTAGCGGTAAAATCACTCAAAGGTGAGAAAATAGCAAAGGTGAGGCAAAGCAGTTGCAATGGTTCCTAGAGGCCTTTTGTTTAATTTTTAACATTTATATTTTCAGAGTCGTCCTCAGAGAGAGATAAGAATGATTTTATGAATGAATTGAACATTCTGAAGAAAGTTGGCCAGCATCCAAATGTGGTGTGTCTGGTTGGTGCCTGTCATATACAAGGTGTCTATTCTTTTCAATGTTTTCATTCATGAAATTGTGCATATAGTAAGTCAATATGCTGTTATTAATAGACACTTAGCATCATGAAGTAAGCATTAAAGTATACATATAGTAACAAGTTTGATTTTCCCTGCAGTTTGAAAGAGACACAAATTAGTCTTCGTGTAACTTAAAATAAAACTCCCAACTATTTTTTTTACACATAGGAACAATGTTTGTTGCAATGGAATTCTGTGTAAACGGTGATCTGAGGTCTTATCTGAGAAAGATGAAAAGGTGCAAAAACAATTTGTACGCAAACGCAAAGATGATATCGCCCATACAAAAGTCAGTCCTGTTGAAATTTGCACTAGATGTTGCCTCCGGTCTTTCTCACCTTGCAGACAGACAGGTAACTCTAGTTACCAACATACTAGAATACCCAATAGATAAATAAATTTTTCTAACTCTATTTAAAGAATCCTTTTCCTGTTGACAGATCATTCACAGAGATGTGGCTGCCCGCAATGTTCTCCTGGATGAGCACCTCATCGCCAAAGTAGCAGATTTTGGACTCTCTAAAAACGACGACACCTACGTTAAAACTTCCAATGTATGTATTGTCCATTGAGGAGTTAGTCATATATAAACATTTTGAGTTTATTTATGTTACATATATGACCTCGAAAAAATTAAAATAACTTTTTATCTATTGTCTATCGAAGAAAGATCCACAAAAATTGAATTTAGGTGGGAGAGGGAGGGGGATTTTCAAGTTTTCCAGTATTTTGAATGAATTTTTGTTTTGACAAATGTAGTTTGTTCTCTTTCAGACACGAGTTCCTGTGAAATGGCTGGCACCAGAATCATTATTTAATGCAACCTATACGTCACAGAGCGATGTGTAAGCTAAATTATATTCTTTTTCTGGCATTATCTAATTAGATATAGAACATTTCGAAACAAAATAAGTGTTGATATGATTGTGTGAGGAGTTGTTATTCAAAAGATCACAAAATTAATATAGCAATTTTTTTTAAAATTCTTTAAGAACTTTTCAAAATTTTATGAATTTGTACTGGTTTTTATTTAAAATCTGAAGTGCGGGGGTATAGGTTAATCATTCCTAATTAAACAATAGTTATGAATTTACAGATGGTCATTTGGTGTCCTGCTGTGGGAGGTTTGCACTCTAGGTGGTACTCCATACCATGGAATAGACACGGCCCAAATGTGTCATCTACTCAAGCAAGGATTCCGCATGCGCAGACCAAGAACTTGTGAACCTGCTTTGTGAGTAAAATAATATTTTATTTTTTACTCACTATTCCAAATCTTTCAGCTGCTTTTTAAAAAAAAATAATGTTCTTCTTGACAGGTACGCGATGATGTTGCAATGTTGGAATGAAAATCCAGATGGTCGCCCGTATTTTGGTGACATTGTTTTACGATTACAGCGCATGCTCGACGATAGTCAGGTGATTTTCTTGGAATTAGCATATCGAGCAGCTTAGCTAATATCAAATATTTCTTTCATGCATACAATATTTGTCTTCTTTACAGGTGTATATGAATCTTGATGTAAATGAGGGGAATCTTTATGCTGAAATTAAGTGACATTAGATTCGCCAAGTTCGCCGCTAATCGAGTTCTCACGTATGCGTCTCAAGGATGCTCGTGTTAAGGTCTTCAAGCATTCCGGGAAAAACTGTGTGATAGTGTTTGCAGGCATTTCATTCAGAGCAAGATTAATGGTGTATGCTCATTGACCAGTCATATACACACTTCCTATTTCTAATGACGAATACTTTACAAAAATTGTGTTTACACAACGAACTACTAAGAAGCAATATTTTAGATTATTTGAGGGAAATTGTATATAGAAACCTCTTATATTTCTTGGGTATTTAGTATTCGAATGTTCAATGCACTTAAACCTATAAACATTTATGAACTCTGATGAAACAACAGATCTGGATGCAATCATTTGTGATATTAGTATATTTATAGATCTTCTCCTGGTGCTGGACACTAGGGAGGTGTCGTTAATTTATTACATGTTTCTTTTGTTTCTGTCAAAACTGAAAATTAATTTTTGCATATTGCTTTAGTTCTTTTCTGAATAATTATTTCATAAACTTCATTTTTAAAGTATTCAGTCTCTAATGGAAGACCTTAGTAATTCAACCGTCTCTTATGATTAAGGTCTTCCGTCTTCTTCACGCTTAGCCTCGAGAAAAGTGCAATCTGGTGCAATTTAATGCCAGTTAAGAGGTGAACGTGGCCATATTCAGACTATTAAAACCTTTGAAAAAGAAGGGATCTATAAAAATATAGGAAGATGCATTAAATATTGTTATTAGACCATGATTTTATTTCTTTACTAAATTATAGTTTATGGCGAGAAAAGTCATAGTGCATATTTTTGGGCGGATGTGTGGATCGGTTGACCACCCAGCTTCCTTAATTTAAAGTGAATATCCCTAGAAGGCGTGCATAGGCAAAGAATCAAAAAGGAAATCTAGTTGCCTTGATGAAGTTTATTTCATTTTTGGCAAGCGTATACCTTTATTTATCAGTTTTAAGTCAGTTCCAGGAACTTAATGTACTATTATTTGGGTGGTATTTGCTTCTTTTTAACAATTTTTAATAATCGACAAAATGTTTGAAATGTGAGATTTGACTTGCATGGTAATACTAAAGAAGTACTTATAATAAACTATCATAAAAACAGACGTAGCATGTACAATGGTGTATTTTTATTTGTTTTCTTTAATGATCATGCCCATAGAAAATGAAAACTCAGTAAATACAAGTACTAGTAGTTCATTTTATAAAAAGGCCATCAAAATACGTTATCATATATATGGACATTTAATAGTATTATGAGGTAAATTTTGAAATTATCTGCACCTATTTACAACATGGTACAAAATATGCATGATATTTGCCAAAATAAAATTATTACAAAGTATAATTACTGTATGTCTTCTTTCTTAAATCTGTCAGACTGGTGTACTTTCATGTTTATTACAAGTGTTCGTTCGCGAAGATTAAGGTTACATATTCTGCGCATGCCAAAGTGTAGGTGTTGCCACTTAAGGAAACTTTCTGCATTTCCGATGCCGGTCCATTGGTGATAAGTCAAATTCATCGTAGCAGAAAGAAAAAATTACTGTTCACTCATAAGTAAGCAAACGTAAATACATGTTTAGAGGAAGTCATGCTTTGCATTTGTAGGTGGGTTAATCGGTGAACCATTTCTCGAAAAATATTTGGAACCCTTTACTTGACAGTTATCAAACTTTATACATGAGAGGGAAATATTATTTACACAAAACTTTCCTACTATATCCATTATCCAAACACACTACAGTGCATATCCAATTATTCGATCAATATAAACTTTTTTTCAGTCATCAAACTTTGCACTAAGGATGACCATGATGGTGTGTTCCTGTTTTGCATAAAAATGTTAAGTACGTGTACATGTATCAATTATATGTTCAGCTCTAGGTGTATAGATCAAATAGTGACATTGGCTATAATAGCAATTAAGCAATTCTCCATCCCGTGAGATTTTTCTTTTGGCATACATTTTTTAGCTACAATATTTTAATTGTATACAAAATAGGAACAAACCAGTCAATAAGTCAATAACCCTCTTAAAAACACAAAGAGGAGAAAGCGTTTTAAATCATTTGTATTTTTTAAATTCATGATCAGATTCTGAATACTTTTAACTTCTTAACTTAGATTTATTATTTAAAACATTCAAATATTTCCAAACATAAATAACAGAGCATTTGAGTAACATCACATGCAGTCTCTTCCTCTAATTAACTTTGACACTCTCCCTTCTTGGCGGAGTCGCTGTCGCCTTCTGCTTCGACAGTTCCATGTTCCTCCGCTCAACAAGCTGGCGGAGTTGCAGGGATTTTTCTGCAGCGGGGAAGAATTTCCTAACAAAGAAGATATGGACCTGATGTGTCCAGAAGTTAAACTGTCGTGTGGCTTCGTCCAACTCCTCTTCCTCTTCTTCTTCCTGCTCAGCGATCGCAACACCACCTTCAAAAATAAATACTTCTTATTCAAGTTGTACAGTTGTAATTAAGTTATTTAACTATTATCGTTTCTATGAAATTGTCTGAATGAAAGTTTTTTGCTAATGTTTGTAGCATTCATACAACAGCTGCTTATCGCATTTCGGTGCACATGCATGCAACAGAAATTGGGGACAGATTACATGTAATTCACAAAAACATTATGATAAAAAATTATGCAATGCGAGACGATACCCTTTAACAAGTTCGATTAATGATCAGAGAAATTCTTGGTCAACCTAGAAATTGGAATTCTGCCAGTTGTGTAATTGTAGTCTGGGAACTTTGGGAGAACCAGAATTCCATATATCAAATTAGAGGCCCAAGGGCCTTGAAGGTCACCTGACCATCATGAGTTTCTCATGCTATGACCACTTTGGCCCCACCAGGAACTCTGAATTAATGAACGGAAATTTAACAGTTTGGCGAGGACTCTATGATCAGAATCTTATTCATGCAGCTTCTCTCCTAGAGTTTTTTTTTAATAAAATAGATTTAGATATATGTGTATGATCAACTTAGCTCCACCTAGAGCCTACTGTCGTCATACATACATATTGCTTGCTCATGTTCAGGAAGAAATAAGATTTTCTAAATTACACAGTATATAGTAAATTTCATTTTTTTGATCAACTAAGCCCCATCCTGTACCCTGATCCCTGGACCCAGAAAACATCAATTATAAATTTTGTAGAGAGCTAGGTGCTCATTATAATCATGCAAAATTTGTCTGCTAGATGTCCAAGAGTAATAAAGACATTCAAATGTATTATTATATTGCAACTTAATCCAACCTTTGGGTCTGATCTCTGGGCCTACAGAACAGGAATTTCACAATTTGCCTGCTGAATCCCCATGAGGTAAAAAAAAAAAGATTTTCAGAGATAAATGTGTTCCAATACATATTGGTATGCACTTAGATGACCAAATTAGTCCCATTCTGGGATCCATGGATGAAGGAGCCATGATTTTTTTTAATTTTGATAAAGTATCACTTACTGTACTCATTATAATCTATTGACTGCTAAAGGCGTTTATGAGTAAAGGAGTCAAAGATGTAATGTATTTTCATTACATGACCAACTTAGCCCCACACTGGGGCCTGAAACAGGGAGCAATGAATTTTACAGTTTTTGGTAAAGGATTCTTGCTTTTTTTAAATATAATCATGTCAAGTTTGACTGCTTGATGTCCAGGATTTAAAAAAATGAAGACTGCATGATATTTTGATGGTTTTGGCCACATCCCTCAGCCCACCCACCCCCAAGAGACTCGGGTGACCTGAAAAATCAACGATTTGGTGACACATAGAGGACATTGCATGTTTTTTTAAGTACGTGAAGTTATTTTTTTTGTTGTGGTTTTGCTTTTGGCCTACCACAGTAATGAACCATTTATCGATTCAAATGATCAATATTATCCAACACAGCAAGTTATGTGACCGTTTCTAACCTTTTGTCCCTTCTTCGTCGTCATCCCCCATTTCCTGACCCTCCATGGTGTGACCCCCAGCAGACACGGAGCTCTGCATCAGACCCCCGTCCTCTGTGGCGTTGGTGTGTGTACTATAAAAGGAGTTACTTTTCTGCACATCTCCTGCCAGATCTACCACAAAAAAAAAAGATGTTAAACATTTTGTACAGGTGTTAACACGGGTTTAATGTGATATGCAATGTAAGTAAAATTCACCTTTTGTAGATTCATGACGACTTGTTGTGCCTCCTTCAACCCCACCACTGATTGATCCACCTCCTGTCACGTTTGATATTGACTGATGTACCTGATTAAACAATAAAACAGGATATATTTTGGAAATTGTAAGATCTTGTATTTTTGCAACGGAAAGAGAGATAACTGAAATACACACCTCTGGCGGTTTGATGTTCTCTCCGTTTTTGGTAGTTCCCTCTGCGGACGAGACGGCTCTGGTGGGGGACTGGAATTCTGGGGAGCCTGTGTTCTGTCTCGGAGAGACCCCACCCTGGGACTCTGCCCCATCAATCCCAACCTAAATCATAGTTGAAAGTGTATTGAAATTGACATCTAAATGAAAATTAAAAACTTACCATTAATTTAATTGTAAAAGGAAACAATTTTGTTCCTGTTCACAAAATATTCTCACGAGATTCTGTCTTAATTTTACGAGAGCCCCTACCCTCAATTAAGAAACCTCTATACACTAAAGGAAAATGTTTTTGGATGTTGAAGATTGAGAAAATTATATAACTGTATTAAGGTGTAAATATTTAGATTATATATTTGATTTTCCACATAGGGTCTCAAGGAAAAATGTTGAAAGACAACGAATAATTTGATGAACAGAAATCACTGCTATTTACTTACATGTAAATGTAAGTGGGGAAAAACATGCAAATACAATGTCCAATTTATTTATTTTAGTCTTAAAATATTACGACTGCTTAAATTGATGACAGTTTTAACAAGAAAATTCAGAGAATTGTGATCCCCCGCTATCGGGGTCTTATTGGTTGGGGTGAAATGAACAAATTGACATATTGTAACGGTCTTGTCTGTCCTATCTCGTCTGCCCATGCTAAAAAGACTTTTGAAGCGATGTGTCCTTGTCCAAACGTAACTGATGGGGGGGGGGGGGGGGGGACATGTTTACAGACCAAAATACCGTACACAGAGAATGTGCATCCTACGACCAATTTCAGAAGATTAACAACTACAAAATTTTGCTAAACGAATCATAGTTCATTTTACAGAAGTTATACAAGACGAAAGACTTTAATTAAGAAAAAATTAATGAATAGATATTGGTATTAAATTAGAGTTATTTATCAATCACTAATGAATGCTACTTTGCATTAAAATAAACTTGAAGATCATTTGCCAAACCATACTGAGTTATGTGTGCGTAAAATGAAGGGGGAATCCCGAGTTAGCATTTGTAGTTAGAGAAAAGTTTTGTGACGTTTTCGTGGAGCAGTAATTAAACTGTTTGTGATTCCGAGTTCAAGGCCAATATTTATCTTTTAATATGTCAATTTTGTTTTTCTCTTTTCTTTAGTGTTTCTTTGCCAAATTTTCCTTTTTAAAGTTAATACAATTTCAAACAGTCCAATATACAGGTTACACTTAGAGAGTACATATGTCTCAGGAAAAATCAGTAACTTTTTGTTTGTTTACTGGAAACAAGGAAAGTGTCTGCCTGCTTTTGTGTCACAATAACTTGGAAAAAAGCACGTGCAGATTTTATACCTTAGGTAAACGATAAACTTAGGAAATTATTATGGAGACAATATTACAATGGAGACTTCCTTATTTTAAAACTTTATAAGAGAATTATACCCGCCGGGTAAACTACAGGCTTCTGGGTCCGTGCATGCATTTCCAGTCGATTATCATATATTTACATTTCCAATGTCTTTGTCCGAGATAAAATTACAAATTGTAAAAATACTTTATTTCTACATAAATCTACTGGTTCATCGATAGGCGCGGTTAAAAAAAAAATCACGTGCGGGGCGGGACAAATTGAGACAGAAGCGGGGCTATTAGCAGGGGAATTTGCAGAATCAGGAGCATGTAAATATAAGGAATAACTGTCAGATTTTTTGGATTCATGACGATGATCAATCGATTGGCTTGCGTGATAATTTTATGCATAAACGCCTTCGGCGTTTATGCAAATTATCACGCAAGCCACTCGATTGATCACATCATGAATCCAAAAAATAAGACAGTTATTCCTTAAATACACACTGTATTTTATATTGTAGCTGTTGACATGTAAATTTCGTGCACATTTCTCTACTTTGTTAAATATTGAGTATGTACATGAAAACTTTGTCACTAAAATTGAATAATTTAATAAGCATTGACTATATGAATTATTTTGTACATCGAGAAATTAATCTAAAAAACGACTGGCACGATTTTAGTGAAAGTCTTCATCTTTTAATATTCATTTCTCGATGAACAAAATAATTTATATAGCCAATCCTAAAAGAGAAGTTTTTCTTTTGTTTTACGCTCTTTTCCTTTGCTATCTCTTCGAGATTTCGAGGTGTCCCCTGTCCGACGATGTTCACCACAACCATCACAGGTTATCACATAAATATACTGTGATATGAATATATCACAACAAATGTCTCAGAAAATGAATTTAAACGTTCGATCCTGTCCATTAACTTAGAGTCTACTTTGATGGTAATTTGTTAGATCTACTTTTACACCTATGATTATGTTACTGTATAAATACAGGGAATGTATAATCATCATTAATGCTAAAAAAAAGTCAGAGCATCTATGTTTTGAAGGCACCATTTTAAAACCTTTTATTAAAATCATAAATATCATTAATTAAAACTAAATTAAAAATCTGGTTGACCTACTTGCACCAAAAATCTGAAAACTTTGTCAATAAATGTAAAAATATAAGTTGTAGAGAGGTGGAGATTTACATGGGTTCTAAAATGTAAGATAATAAATAATATATTTGTTGACTATTTTTGGACTTACCACAAAACTGACTGTTGTAAAGAGGCTAAGCTGTGTTATCTCCTATAGGGGTGTATTCATACAATTATGCAACATTTAAACGTTTTATTGAAATAACATAATATTATACTTTACATTATTGTAAATGCAACAAAGGATGAAAAAAAAAACTGGACTAATTTTGAGAAAGTACGTTGATACAATTATGGTTATGTATTTAAATGTGCAAAATATTTTATATGTGCAATGCAAGACTGGCATATTAGATAAAACAGAGAGGTCAAGGTTACCTGGCTGTCTAAGCGTGACCTTGACACTGGAATGGAGAACATGCTTTGTTCAGGGGTTAGCACTGTGCTGGGACGGGGAGTGGTGGGGTCCTTAACAACAGCTTCTGTCACAAACACCTCAGCACACCCAATCAGAGCTTCAAAAAATTCAAGGAAGGTCATCTGAAATAGATAGTCAAAAGTTATAAATGTTTTATACACACATATAAAGTACAAGATTATATAATTTCAGTACACCAGTTTTCAAAAAGACTTGCATTTATTTTAAATGTAAAAACAATTGTATCATGACTACCTCGAGTTCAAGATTACAGCACCCCTCTCCATCGGCTACATTTGGGTCATCTTTAGACAGAATATCAATGATGGCTTTCGGGGTCAGATCACTGTTTATTAGTTTTAAATCCTATGAAAAACAGAAAGAATTTGATCAAAAATTGTAGCTGTTAATTTTTTTTTAATTGAGGAATTCTAACCCTTTTCAATTTTTAAAATGATAAATACCTTCATTAGGTAGAGGAACTCCCTCATTTTAAATGCAGAATCAAATGGCTTTTTCTAAAATAAAACAAAAAAAAAAAGATATGACTTGGCAATTATTTTGTCTCCAAGAGTTTAACTGCAATGATACATTTGAAATATTTTGACAAACAATTGTTTATGAATCTGCAATAAATTCTTCTTTCACTTTTGTCATATACCTTACCTTTCGTGGGGTACAGAGTGATTGGTATATTTCATAGCCTTGATCTAAGTGAACCAATGCATTAATGGCTCGCCTTGGTTCAGTATAAAAATGTCCTGGAAACAAAATCAAAGATATTGGTAATGAAGTTTTATCAATTAAATTGAAATTTAACTAAGAAAAATATGAAGATTTCTATTTATCATGTACATGTTCTGCAAATGCATACTTGTGTTTGTGGGCATCAAAATGAGCAAATTTTCCTTAAAATAAGCTTACCTTTAACATTGCATGCATGTCTCAAGATTTTCTCAGAAATTAACTTAGACATGCACCAGTGCAAAATGGGTCCCTTGCACTCACTGAAAATTTAAAAATACTGAATTAAAAATCAAACCACTTAAAATAATAACATCCATAATATTTAAAATTCCACTTTCTTGATGGAAAAAAAAATCTGTTCACAGTTTGTTTGTTTTTTATTGTTTGTTTGTTTCTTTATTTTTTTTAATAGGGACATAATGGGTCATTATAGCATTACTCTCTGGCTTCCTCTCTGTACATGTAGTAGGATAAGATAATCAGGTTGTTGACAAACTGTCGGAGTAGAATCTTGTCGTAGGGATTATGCAGCTCAAACTTCTCCTTATTGTAACCTGTTATAATACAACAACAACAACAAAATCATTCATGAAGGATGCTTAATATTGGAAAGGTTTCAACTGGATCTGAAGACGAAACCTCCAAGAAATATAATATTAATAGAAATTTGTTACATTCCAGACACTTAAAATAATAATAATGATGAAAATCATTGTTGATATTTTTAGCATATATGTAGTTTTATTCATCAGCTCCAAATCATTTTAATTGGATGCAACAACCAAAACTTTCCAAGTACATGTACTTGCAATTTATACATGTATATTTGAGTACATACTACACATGTAAATGTACAGTTATTAGCAAGAGATTACAGTAGATGATTTTCTGTGTATATTTTTGCTGCTATTTTACTGGTCATTTTAAAAGTCTAAAGTCTAGTACAGGAATATATGAATAAGAGTTTCACCTTTTGCTGTGATGCATTTTAATTTCAAAACATTATTTTTAGATGTATACATGTACCTGCTGTATATACGTATGTACAACAAAACTTGATTGCTGACTACAAGGTTGGATAATCATTAAAAACTATTGTATTCTTTTCATTTTACTAAAGATCAATCAAGCATACTGTTCTGAAGAAGTCTCGTTTTCCAGTTCTGTAAAATTTCAGAGGAATTTATCTTACCCAACTGCCTGTCCATTTCCATGAGAGTAGTCTCGCAGTGATGAAATTCACAGTCCACCAGGAATCTCCAGAACTGCATTTTATTCATCACAAATGTATTATCAGCACTCTCATCATATCCCAGACAACTGTAGTAATTGTAGATCTTCCTCAGAGCACTGATGTGTCTCATAACAACGTACAACACCTACAGGTTAAAATAGCACCACAAATTAAATGTATGAGTCTTCTTATAGAAAATAAAGATCATTTGAAGTGTCTTATATAAAGCATGACATATGCATGATAAATCCATGTTCAGTGATGAAATTTTAACTGGATTTAGTATGAAGTTTCTTTAAAGTCATGGTGTGCAATGCAGCAAGTATATATTTGCTAACCCACGATTTTCCTCTTAACTTAAGCATGCAAATCTAAGATTTCTTTTACTTTGTGGATTGAACTGATCAGCTAGAACAGCTAGTTCATCTACAATTCAAATCAGCTTGTCAAAAAGTTTGTACATACAGGTGACTCTCGATCTCTCGAAGTTCAAGGGACCGCAAGAAAAGTTCGAGAGATCAAGGGGTCCGAGAGATAGAAAGTGAATAAAATCTGAAATTTTCAGTTCCGATCATCATTGTTCTACTATTATAAATACTGGAAGTATACGTTGATAATGTCATTGCACGTTTTCGTTCGTATTTTACAGGTAATTCACTTGATTTCAACAACAATGATCGTATTTTGAATAAATAAAATGATCTCTTTAAGTTTCTTAAATCGGCTTTCAATTCTTGAGATAGGATATCTTGTGCAATGTTTGTCATACTGGGATTATGTAGACTCTAATAAAACTTCATAATCTATGGAAAATTATTTACACATCTCTTCAATTATTTTCTAAAATATATCGTCTTGCTGTCAAGTCAAAATAAATTTTGAAGCAATTCGTTTATAATTTACCAATATTATAATCAATTAATTATATCAACACTTGGATGCTCACAGGTATAGTGTCATCTATGTAAATACCCAATTAACACCTCCATGTCGGCCCTATCCAGGTAAGTCCAAACTGCATTAATTTTACGCTTGATTGGCGTGTACACACACGCAATCAAAACTTCGAGAGATAGAGAGTAAAAAACAATGAAATGTATGTAACGGGACCAAGGTCTTGGTTTGAGAGATAGAGAACTTCGAGAGATGGGAAGTTCAAGAGATCAGAAGTAAATTTGCTTAGTTATATAGAGGAAAAAAACGGGACCGGAGGTTCACTTCGAGAGATCGAGAACTTCGAGAGATCGGAGTTCGAGCCATCGAGAGTCACCTGTATAAACTTCGGAAAATTGACAACAAGCAATATAATGTATGTATTTGCACTGCTTAGAAGACCAGAATTGATCAATGGCCAACAACTAAAGTTGAGCAGATCAGAATTTTACCTGGCTGGCTTCTTCTTCCCTGTCTGTGAACTCAGACAACAAGTGATCAATTTCTAGTTGGAAGCTTGGACCTATGGTGTTCCTGCTCTCATTGCTATGGACTGACAGGTTGTCTGCAAGATCAGAACAGGTTTGCAATAAAATCTTGGCTATTAAAGAAATAAGTGTGGAAATTTTTTTGACTAAAAAGTTTTCTGACAATTTGACAATTGATATGCAGGGGAAAAAATGGTTATATTTGCTGCTGATGTTCATAATACATTGTAAATAATTGAAATATTAATATAATTCACATGGAATCAATACTTCAGTGTGAAAGAAGAGTATTTTTACCATAAGGCAGAGGAGTCCTTGTTCGGATCTGACTAATATCTGGAGTGGTGGTTCCATCCATGGTAAAATCTGGATACTCCACAATGTGGTCATTGGCAAACATCCCTTCATAGATCCTTCCATTTTTGAAAACAAATTTTCCCTAGAAACACAGATTGAGAAACTTTTCAAAGAGGGGAGGGGGTATAATAACATTCTTTGGCTATGGAGAAAAATAAATCCTGCCAGAATTTTGTGTTTAGTTTTTTACAATTTATCTGTAGATGAAAATATCAATAAATCTCTAAGTCTAACCCATATATGCATACTAATTCACAACAAGCAAAATTTTTAAACTTATAACAACACTGATCAACTTTATTTCTGTATCAAGTAGATTTGTTGTACCTTTCCATGCTTCATGTTATCTTTCCATCCCCCTTCATACTTTGCCCCATTAGCATAGTAAAAGGAACCAGACCCATGCCTGAGTCCATTGACAAAGTCTCCATCATACATGTTTCTGAGGGGATACTGTGATCCTGTCACCCTCTTCAGCATCCAGATGTGCTGACCAACACCATGCTGCAAGGATAAATCCAAATCATTTGTAATTACTGGTTTGTATCAGTTCTGAGGTATTTTTTTACCCTTTGCTTTAAGTATGACAAAAATCGCTCAAACTGATCCAATTTAAGTCCCTATATTGTTGTCTCTCCTCACCCTTCCCTACCACAAGGAATCATGGTTTGAACAAATTCACTCTGCACTATCTGGTAAGAATTAAATTAATGTTTGGTAATTAATATGATAATTTTTCCTATATATTCCCATGTAAAAACCAAACTATGATCCCCAATTGTGGCCCATCCCTAAACTGTACTGGAGGAGTCATGATTTAAACAAACTTGATCTGCACAACCTGAGGCTACTTGCATATTAATACATGTATGTCTAATTAACCAAAAGCAAAAAATATGATGGGTTCATTTTAAAATCTCAAGAATAACAGGACAGGAAAAGATGAATCTTATGTGAGAGTTTCATGATATAGTGTATTCCAGCAGATTCAAATCATTGCCTGTGTCCAAGAATATTAGTCAAGAGCCCCTATTTTTCCAATGTACATATCTGAAATTTCAATTTAGTTAAACCCCCTCCACCCACCCCAGGTCAATAAACTTACTGTATGAGAGTTTAAATATGGAAGTCAAAATTTCTTTTCCTTCCAAGGGGAAGACTGCTGGCATAAATGTATTTGACAATCATTAAGTAATCATTCCAGGTTGATATCCCCTCAAATAACATGGAAAATAAGTCACCAACCTGAATGCCATTTTCCCAGTTGCCTGTGTACATCTGGTTCCGATCCAGCCATTTCATTGTTCCTTCTCCATGTCGAATATTGTTAAACCACATTCCTTGGTAGATGTTTCCCGATGGATACTGGCGAGTTCCCCAGCCATGTTTGACATTGTTGATCCAGTCTCCGTCATAATATGACCTACCCTCACTATCATAATCCATCTTCCCCTGCAAGGTGATAGGATATGTTACTCTTTTTAAGCTGCAGAAATTCATCAAGCAGAAAAATATTTTGAAAAATCAATGTCTTATAGAAGAAGTTGGCAATATGGACCTTCGGATAAAAATTCTGACTTCACTGCATATTGAGAGTACTTGGCAAATTATATATATATATAAAAAAAACATTGTGGTTGGAGAAATTATGACAACATTTATGTACAAGAAACTCACCTTGCCATGACGTTTCCCTAATGACCATTCTCCTGTGTAAGATAACTTATTGTTTTTACACCTATAGGAACCGATCCCATGTCTCTTCCCATTCAAAACCTCACCATCATACATACTGCATAAACAAAAATTTACACATATTAAACAACCATGCTTACTATAAGCCTGACTGTTCATAATTTTTCATTAAATCTAATTTTTTTTTCTCAGAGACTCAGAGAGAGAGAGAGAGAGAAGGGGGGGGGGAGAGAGAAAGCAATTTATTTTAATTACCTTCCATCAGGCCATTTATAGATACCTTTTCCAGTCACCTGATTTTGGAAAAATTCTCCCTAAAATAAAATACAGCTTTAGATATTCAGTCATTAACCTTTTTATTACATATTTAATAGTACCATTACATTTTTTTTGACTCATATGAATGGAATCTTCCTAAACATCTTGACAATATTAGTATCTGCCAAGTAGATGTATGTTTGTGATATATATCAAATGTATATGTATGTGATGTCATTAAAAATGGAGAGACCGGAAAATATATCAAAAGTAGTCCTCGGGTAGTGTGGGCCAAGTAATGGCTCTGTAAATGCCTGGGTACTCGCTATACATTCTATTGAGAAATACAATCAAAATATATAATAACCTACCTTAATCTTTTTACTTATTATCATTGCAATTAATAAAATTATGATCTTACTTTCAAAATATTATATGTTGCATGATCTTGGTAATCAGTTCTGCTACTATAGAAAACTGTAACTGACAGTAACAGTTAATGTATGCCCTCTGTCAGACACATGTTATTTATTATGTTACCTGATACTCCACTCCATCACTCCAGGTATAGTGACCTTGACCATGCATGAGACCTTCACAGAATTGACCCTGTTAGATAGACATGATGTAAACATAATAAATTCATTTCAGACACTTATTTCACTAATGATACTACATAGGTGGCTCACCCTAATGACTAGTTACTTACTGCACTATATAACATATGTATAGCTAATAATTACCAGTTTTAAATCAAAGAAAATGGCAAAAGATGAATTTGAATTATTGAAATATCTATTATAATTACAAGACAGAGAAAGACACATGGAAAATTTTGCCTTTTTAGTTATGAAGGAAGCCTGTGTAGCTGGTAATTAATGAGTAGTTTTGTAAATTAATTTACTGATATGCAAGCATATGCTGAAGTTTTCATAATTACTCAAGAAATATTGTAAGCTTTGGTATGAGATTTCCACAGAATTATTGAATTTATATATATACTGTTAAAAAATATCTAACGTCAGCATCAGCTATGTATTCAACTGACCTTGTAAGTATGACCTCCTGTAAAAACAGCATGACCCTCTCCTTCATACATCCCTCTTGTCTTTTCTCCTTCAAAGCTAATCAAATATTTATAAACTGTGAATGACAGTATTATGAGTAAATTTCCTAAAAAGCTTGTCTGATGTGAATAAATCATATTATTATGTTGGGAACCAAGAAAAGTGTGCTCATTAATCAACATTAATCCGAGTCCAGATAATTCCTTTCCTAATAGTAAGAATCAAGGACATTTAAATTTGATGTCATCAACATAAAATGAAATGATATTTATAAAAATGATAGTAAATAACCTTACGTTTCAATTATCAGTTCTGAGAGGACAGGTTCGTCGTACATGGGTTCGGGTGACGGTTCCTTTGGAGGATCAATGATCTCCGTCTGATCCTCGGTGGGTGACGACTCTGTCTCCAATGCCAAAGATTCATCTTTCTTGTCTTCTTCAGCGATAGAATCTTCGCTCTTTTTCGCACTTGTTTTCTGTTTTTTCGGCATAATGCTTTTCAACTGTTCGTTGTCAAGTCGGAAGTTAATGTAAACAATCGCAAGAAAAATGAACAGCTTGTACCGAGTTGTTTCTTGATTACTTTCTCTTTTTTCAGATATCTTTATTTAAAAATAATTTTATATCATTACAAAGTAAAATATACCAGTTTTTTAAATGCAATCTCTCGTGATACAATTTTCATATTTTTAATTTTATATTACCGAGGGGCAAAGGCACTCTCCATCGGCTCATACATGGCATTCATCTTGAGAGAGGAACGAACGACAACTCTGCATAGGAGATTGGGGCAAAGGTTATGAAATGAGAACCAGTTTATAGACGGCCTATCAAGTGAAAGTTGACAGACGAAATATGGATATAGTGACTTTTTGTCATTTTTTAAGCTACAGTGTTATTTTGAGCAGTCTTATTGTTAAAGTACCACAAATTATATCAGTTCTGAATGCAAAAAACACAAAGGGACTTAGTTTGAGTAGTGTTTTGTTGGAAGAAGTCGGGTATGTTTCTTCCCCATGCACATGATGCACCTTTCATTGTCAGCTGATTATGTTCAATGTTTATCTTCGTAATATGGCATCTGAGGCCATGTCCTATCTGTTAGATTTAAGTATAAATATTTCTCCACGGCATATCAAGTTTATACACTCACTAAAACCTCTATTCGATTTTGTTGCATGCCTCAATAATATCATAGAAAGAACGGATATAATATACATGACTGACATGTAGAAACAGACTCCTGATAATGAAGTGGTGGATTCATTGAATCTGTTGGCGGGAAGGGGAATTTCTGTTATTTAAGATGCTGTTAACTGTTTATTATACAGAGTGAGTGTTTTTCAGGTATTCTATTATGCTGACATACAGTTTTGCTATGGGATATCCACTGGCTTCCTATTTTGAATACACAGTACTTGTTCTCCAAGGTGAGTTATCATTCATGATTAAGTGTAATTTAATAGATGAAAAAAAAGATTTTTTGTATCTTGTATGTTTGGAGTAAACTTTATTTATTAATAATTCTGTGTGATTTTCAAAGTTATCCATTATGCATTTTATGAAATGTTATAATCTGCTATAGTTATGAACCATTGAATTTTTAATTATAAAGAACAACTTGTTTACTACATACATGTATGTGGTAGTCCACTACGAGTATTAATTTTCCTTATTTAGTTAACTTAATTCCTACTTAATTATATACTGTATTCAATTTATAATCATAGTATGAATTCCAAAAAGAGTTTCTTTTGCTATCAAACAGTTACACATTCCATAACAAAACTTTTCATTAGTTTCTTCTAAATTTTATCAATTAATTCATAATACAGTTAACTTTTAGTTCATTCTTTTGTTAAGAGTTGGTATTTTAACTCGAGCACGTCCTTGCTCGAGCCTTCTGAGCCAAGCCTTATAATGACAAGGTAATAATTATGAGTTACCTTAGCTTCTTTTTGTTACAAATTTTTGGATATATTTTTACTTAGTTCTCTTGACTATAAGCCACATCCCTTCCCCTGGGTTTTTATATGTTGTTTTGTTATCTGGTATTTTATTATTAAACAATTGTTTAACTTTATTAAATGTTTAAAACTTTACTTACTGTATTCATTTAATTATATCATTTCATCACCTGCCTCATTCTAAATGGGCTCACTTTCCATAATTTATATAGAGTAACTAAATAGTCAGATGTATGAAAAATAAAAACCTGGATACACAAAGAATTCAATGGACACCAATTAAGCCATTCAATGTCGTAGCTGAATTTCCACCTATAATACTTGTAATGTTTTTACAAATATATAAGATATTCTTCTTTCTTTGCAGACTTTATTTTAATTGTTGCCGTACTTCACTTTGATGGTATCCTGAAAATGAAAACCATACCAGTGTTTCTTTTGTATCCTTTCACACTTACATATTTTTTAGAAGAACAAGAGTTGTCTTTCTTCACACATTCATGAAAATAACTTAACTTGCCAAGGTATTTCTTAGTGTACACAGGGATAGCATTTAGATGGTTTCCAGATATTATTCTAACTGCAGTAATTGTGAGTTTATTAACAAAGTTATCAAACATGCTGAAGTTTTGTTTAAAAAGCATAACCTGCCCCATGCTATGTAATAGTCCAGTAAAATATAGCTAAATACTACACTTTAAAATCATTTCATGAATGTAATTTGACTTTTTCTACAAAAGTAATTCCACTTTTCTCTTTATAGAGTTTGGTTACTCCCCTCTCCTTTACCAGTAAACTTGCTCAAATCAAGTTACTGTATACAAGTAAGAACCCAGGACAGGTTAGCTTGATGACCTGGTGTATAGTAACATATGGAGCCACTGGTGAGTTCGAAATCCATTAACTTTTATATGTCTACAACTTAATTTTTTTTCTTATAAATAAACAATTTAGAAATATATTATTGTTAAGTATAGTTTAATATAATACCTAGTACTAAAATTTGTAAGCTAGCTTTCTCTGCATAAGAATCTAAAGAGTGTTGCATTATGACCTTGAACATGCCTCCATATCCCCCTCTCCCTTACACACAGATATGTACCTTTGTCATCAGGTGCAGGAAGTGTAAAGGTTACCATATTTTGATCATGTAGACAAATAATAATGATTGATTTTAATCAACTCTAATGAACTATATAATTGTGGGAATTAACTTAAGATGTATACTGGTACTCTATTTTCATAGATCTTATTAAAGAGAAGTGAAACACCTAGTATATATATAAAAAAAATTAGTAAAATCATGAAGTTGTACTGGTCTTGTAGAGTAGGCTTTTCCCTCTGAACCCCCCCCCCCCTGAAAATTGGCCCAGTAGTAGGATTTCTCCCTGGAAAAGGGACTCTAGAGTAGGATTTCCCTCATGAAATTTTTCCCCACGGAAATCCCATGTCGGATTCAATTTTTCGGGGGGGGGGGGGGGGGGGGGAATCCTATTCTGTGTAATAGTTATAGTGTGCAATTTCCCTCAGTGCCAATTTTCTCCCGAATAAAATATTATGGTTATACTATAAATATGTAAGAGGGGGAGGGGTGACACATTGTTACAAGTGTCCCTTCTTCAAAATGGTGACCAGATCCATTAATACATTAGAAGTAAGAAAATTGAAAATTTTAAATCTCATTTGTTTTAGTTAATGTCCAGCCAATACTTATGAAGCATTAGAATCTTATTCTACTGGTTTAAAAAAATGGTATTATGTAATCGGTTGGACAAATTTTGAACTGTATCTATGGAAACAAAAAGGAATTTTATTATGCCCCTGCCATAAAATGGCCGGTGGCATATAGTATTACCCTGTTCCGTCATCATTGACTTTCCGTTCATAATCTCGGCAACAGTTGCACACATTCAACTCAAATTGGACATAGGGATACTTCAGAGGGTTCGAATTTGGTCATGGTCCGATGATTTTTGACAGAGTTATCCATCTTGAACTTAGAAAAATAAAATTTCAGTTTCCGCTCGAACTTTTATAGGAACGTATGTATATAAGGTTCATATTGCATGTGCAGGTATTTTACCAGAAAATACAGGTCAACTTCGATTTTGGTCGTGGTCCGATGATTTTTGACAGCTTTATCCCTCTTGAACTTACAAAAAATAAGAAATTTTCAGTTTCCGCTCTCTTAATTTCGTAGGGATGTATGTATAAGGTTGGAATTGCATATGCAGGTATTTTATCAGAAAATACAGGTCAAGTTTGAATTTAGTTGTAGTCCAATGATTTTTGACAGAGTTATCCCTCTTGAACTTAGAAAAAATAAGAATTTTTCAGTTTCCGATCTCTAACTTTTGTAGGGACATGTATGTATAAGTGCAGGTATTTTACCAGAAAATACAGGTTATGTTTGACAAATAAATTTAAAACTAAATATGGCATTTGTAATTTTGGCTGCCTGCGGGGGCATTCGTGGCGTTACAACACATCTAGTCCTTTTAAATTTGAAGATCTACCAATTCAAATACTCACAAAATGTTATGTGGAACCTTTTAATAACATAGATTTTAGAATTTTCTCAAATACTATTTGTAAAAAGGATTGATCCATAGATTTAGAAGGCAAACAAAATTATCGAATTACTAAAAGTGGCCTGATACATTTTAAAATTCGTGAACAAACGGGTACCGTTGTGCCGAGAGAGAGTGTTGAAACATCGAGTCTTGCGTTTTTTTGAGTGACTAATTTTATAATTTCCTATGAGTTAAAATTTTATTTTGATACTCCATGATTTGAACTTTTTAAGATTTCATACTAAAATTGACAATTGTTGAGTCGAAAAAAAATCATATAAATTTCCATTAAAAAATCAGTTGACTTTCATAAAAAAAAAAAACAACCTTTAAGCCAAAATATTGTCGATATGATTTAAGAATTTGATAAAAGAGGGGAAATCTTACTCTAGAAAGGAAGAGAATTTTTGCTCTATTATGAGATTTCCCCGGGGGGGGGGGGGAGTCCTAATCTAGAGTACAGATTCCGGGGGGGAGGGGGGGGGGGCTAGCTATGTTAGTTAGCTATGGGGGCTAATTCCTACCTGTACTCTATTTTCATGGATTTTATGAAAGAAAGATAAATGAAAGACCTAGTGTAAGTGTATATAAAAAATTAAGTAAATTCATGTGCTAAACCTGAATTTTTTTTTCATTTTCTTTTCTTGAAGCCCGTATACTAACATCGTTTTTCTTGACGGGGGACTTCGGCGTCATCCTGAATTTCACTGTAGCTGCTTCCATGAACATGACCATTTCATGCATGATCTTTTATTACAGACAGCTCGCAAAAGACAAGAAAGAATAAACTTTTAACCCATTATACTTTTTTGTGAATGCCATATACTTTATATATCCATACTTTTGGCGACTCCCCCGCGTTAACCGTTGTTCCTGTATACCGTAAAATTGTAACTTGTTACATGTAACTTGATTACTACAAATTTCTTTGTATTTGTGTATATTTATATTTTCTACATTTTTGTACATTTATATATACGCAAAGAAAGCATTCTATTGTTTATTGCAATAGCTTTTTATCATAAGAAATAAATATTTACCGACATCATGTGTGTTTCATTAATTTGCCAATGTTTCATTTTCTAGACAGGCCCGTAGCAACGATTTAAAAAAAGGCAGGGGGTGGGTTCTTTACAAATGGCTTTAAAAAAACATATATAACTCGTTTAATGCATGTATAGCAACTGGTGTTCATGAAAAACGAAAAAAAGAAGAAATTATTCAGATGTAAATAATATTTATACAGTGTATGATGCATGTAACGTTTTAATTAGGGCTGAGGAGGCCCATGTTTTTCTGGAATTTGTAAATATCACAGGTAGCAAATTGACCAGATGCCTCACAGAATTGGCCTTGATACAAAATAGTGATGGTTGTTGAATCCTAATGATTTTGAGTGGGAGCTCTTTGCAAAGAGGACGTATAATGTGATATTTTACGCCCCTTGCAAGTTTTGCATTTTTTCAGTCTTCAAACAGCAATTTTTATGAAAAAAATGTATGATAAAATGGAAATTCAAGTTTAATCAATATTTAAAAGTGCTTTAGAAAATAGGGGGTTGGTCCTGTGATCTTTTACGAGGGTCGTTCAATAAATAATGCAAAATGTCATCTAAAAATAGGAAAAGCACGTAAAGCAGATTCTTAACACTTTCAATCCCTAAAAGCATTCCCTGTTAACATTTACACATGTCTAAAGTCTTTGTACTCATCTTTAGGGATGCCTTAAAGACTCTGATGAATAGCACTTTCCATGATATATCTGAAATTGTAAAATCTTCCTTTGATTGCTTTCATATGTTTTTGGAAGAAAAAGATCTCGCAATGGCTGAGATCTAGCTAATATGGGGGATGCCCAAGCCCTGTAAACCTTTCTTTTTTCAAAGTTTTATTTATTTCTCTATGCTTATTTGAAGCAGCGGTTTCAGATGCAGAAAAAATACTCCGGGGACCGGTATTAGGGTTTGTTTTGCAGGAAATTTGCTTAACTTTCCTGGGTGAAAGAAGATGGGTGAACATGGCGAGCGAAAAGCCTTTAGTGTGACAAACATGAAGGTGAAAAATTAAATCTCAATTATATCAAAATTTTCCTTGATATTTCATCTAATAATTAAAATATACTTTATGTAAAATCTCTACAATTTGCAAAAATCCCTCAAAGATTGAAATTATTTGCCTATGAAATATTATACACACACTAAAGAGGGCAAAACGAGTCATTTTCTCAAATTATAACACTATTTTTCGGTATGAGTGGCTCTTCGCTCCATTTTTTTTTTGAAAGTTAATCCTCAAAGTTTGCATGAAAATATACATTTTTTGGTTACCAAAAATATGGAGCAAGGACACACTTTACCTTAAAAATATACTTTTTTGGCACAACCTTCGCATCTTTTCGAGAAATACTTGAAGTTAATCAAGTCAAGGGTCATATCACAAACATGATTTAAATGCCACCCTTGTGTAGTCTAGTGATTAGCGTGCTAGTCTCGAAAGAAAATGATACTCAGGATTTTTATTGCTTTGGGTTCGAACCCCTCGAATACCAAATTATTTTTTTAATAAACGAATAAATTTTGCCGAGAAAATTTTCCTCAGAAAAGTTTTGTTTATCACTATTTCATAAATTTCAATAATGAGAACATTACTCTTAATACTAAATTCACAAATTGAACATGATTTTTATGTATCCGAAGCTGTAGGCTTTCTGCACACTATGTTCGCCCATCTCCTTTGAACATAAAAGTTACCATTCATAATCCTTCCTTTGGCTGTGTTTTACCCGACCTCTTGAATAAAAAGAAAATTAATAAAACATTTGGAGGCGTTGCTTCTCTTTACAATAATAGGACGACAGCTTTCTCTTTGATTCCACATTTTATTGTTGATCTTCCTTTTCGGCTATAAAAAGTACACGTATGTTTCGTCATCTATCACTCAAGTTTATCAAATCTTCTTTTTTGTAAAAATTTTTATTTTTAGCTCTATTGGTCAGAGACCAGAAGAGCTTATGCGATAGTAAGGTGTCCGGTGTCCGTCCGTCTGTCTGTCCGTCTGTCTGTAAACAATTTTTCAAAATGCTACTTCTCCTACAGTTTTGGTCTGATTTCAATATAACTTGGCATATAAGTAGACTACACCAAGATACATAATTTAGTGCATCGGTTTTTGATTTCGATGAATGGTGTTGCCATGGTAACTAAAAATAGAAATTTCTGTAAAATTCCTTTAAAATGCTACTCCTCCTACAGTTTTGGTCTGATTTCAATATAACTTGGCACACAAGTAGACTACACTAAGATACATAATTTAGTGCATCGGTTTTTGATTTCGATGAACGGTGTTGCCATGGTAACTAAAAATAGAAATTTCTGTAAAATTCCTTTAAAATGCTACTCCTCCTACAGTTTCGGGCTGATTTCAATATAACTTGGCATATAAGTAGACTACACTAAGATACATAATTTAGTGCATCGGTTTTTGATTTCGATGAATGGTGTTGCCATGGTAACTAAAAATAGAAATTTCTGTAAAATTCCTTTAAAATGCTACTCCTCCTACAGTTTCGGGCTGATTTCAATATGACTTGGCCAGAAGTAGACTACACTAAGATACATAATTTAGTGCATCGGTTTTTGATTTCAATAAACGGTGTTGCAATGGTTACTAAAAATAGAAATTTCTCTAAAATTCCTTTAAAACATTACTCCTGCTACAGTTTTCATCTGATTTCAATCTAATTGGCACACAATTAGACAATACTATGTTACATAATAGTGTATATCGGTTTTTGATTTCAATGAATGGTGTTGCCATGGTTACTAAAAATAGAAATTTCTGTGAAATACTTTCAAAATGCTACTCCTCCTTCAGTTTTAGTCTGATTTCAATATAACTTGGCTTACAAGTAGACTACACTAAGATACATAATTCTATTTATTGCTGCATGTTGCAAAATTTTAAATCCAAGTGATACTTTTCCTTTGTTATATGTACAGACCAGTAGAGCTACAGTCTCATCAGAGACTTCTGGTTAAATAGACCATTGGCACATTTAACGTGTGTTTTCTCTTAGGCAAGTGTAAAGAAATAAGGCACCCATCTGATAGAATTATTGTTAGATTTATTTCATTTGTCAGAACTCTATAAACTGTTATGACGATGAGATGTTTTGTGTTTTAACCAAGTCTATCAATGGAAATGTGGCATTTTCAGATATGTTGCTCTCAGCATCCATATTTTTGGTGCCCCTACATATTTTGATTGACAACTTTGACTGCGATATTTTAATTGTACTTTTTTTCTTTTAAAGTTCTGAATCCATCTGAAAACTATACAGCATGAAAGATTAGTCTTTCTACATATCAAAATCATATCTTTAATATGGGTTATTCAGCTATTTATGTAATGAAGCAAAGTTTTCATATACGCCCTCATTTTCATCTTCTTGGCAGAGATCATTTAAAACAGTTTTCAGCTCAGTGTTGTGACCATGCTTACTTAAAAAGTGAATTCCTTTGTGACAACGATAGAAAAAAGCATGGGGTTTTCTGTGATTAGTTCTTTAATAGAACTTTTCAACTGATAAAAAATAAAATAAAATACTTCTGTATTTATTGTGATAAACTTATTGAATGACCCTCGTATTATTAAGTTGTTAAATGGAAACTACTAGGAATGCACAGATTGACATTTAGAGAAACATAAACGCCCGCAATTTCCAAAATCACGGCTATTGTTTAATTCTATGATACTTCACAGCTTTTGTATCATTCTTTATTTTTGACTCCAAAATCTACAAATCACAAAAAACTAGGTATTATTACAGATACTCATACAACTTTGATCATCTTGTGAGAAACTGTCGTAGATTCTTGCACAACTGTCAATGACATGTACTAAAATTTAATTTGCATTATTTAAATTTGATTTGCATGCTTTATCTGAATTTGATCTATAGTAGATCCAATGCGTAAGTTATTTAACACAATATATGAAATACAATGTATAGCGAATCTTTCCAGAATGAAATTTCTCAATAAACTTCACTATTAAATGTCTTTTCGACCTACTTCAGCTAACTCTTCTTTATGACTACAAGGTTAATTTTGGAATTATCTTATAAAAAGTACATTTTAAATGACTTTTTAAAAGTCATTTAATTTGGGAATGTTTATTTTCTAGAGTAGAAGCATACCACTTAATGGCATGCCTGGCACTGAAACTCGACTTTTTATAGCAGACTCTGAGATCTGTTGGTTTGTATCCTGTCTTTTGCTTCACAGACTCGTGTCTAGCTGTCGAGTCAGCTTGATCCGAACGCTCAGACTGAAATAAACAGAAGAAAATAAAATACTGACGGAATCTTTAACGGACAAGAGCCTTCTTTTCATATATGACACCTATACATGTACCAGGTGATTAAAATGCTCCATGTAATAAAAAAAAATTACCAAAAAATGAACATATTGTTTTAATTAAGGACAGATGATACAATAAAAAAATATTTTTGGACCTATTTTGGTTGTAAATGATGCAAATATCAAATCAATTTCTAAAATATTAAGAACTTGTAAACTTTCTATGGTGTTCAAAATTGGACCTTTCTGCAATTACCCCTTTAAAACTATACATGTCTTAGATTCTCTTTATAAGACATATGTGATATTTTGAATAAAAAATTAAAAATTTAATCGGTTAAATCAAACTTATTCATTTTACATTGTACTTATATAAACTTGATAAAGTTGTTATTTTCATGGAATTTGAAAAAACTTTAGGGTTTATTGAACAAAACTATTAACAGACTAGAGGACTCTAAAATCACTATAGGGCATCCGCTTTATAGATGTGGCACCCAAGTATATCTTTATAATATTTTAAAAGAAAAGAAAAACACTTAGCCCAGGTATCACTATCAAAAACCTTATTTATTAAGTTTATACTAACGATAACCATTGGAAAGGGTAATACCGTGTATAAGGTTGAACAGAAAAACAACCAATTAAAGTAGTTTGTAATCCTTTGTTATCCAATTATCCACTCA